TAGGTCTTCCTTTAGGCCTCTTTATTTGTGTTGATTTGTCATTTGTGCCTCCATCTTTTTTATCACAATTCATATCATCTACCGCTGCTGGATTTTTTCTAGGTCTTCCTTTAGGCCTAGTTTTTGGTGTTGACTTGTCATTGTGTTCCCTGATATTTAGAAGACACCATATTTGTATGACACCTCTACCAGTAAGTGGGGCACCCATCTTGTGATAAGAAGAACCAGGTGGATGAGCAGCAACAGCAATAAACTAAAACAAATATCACATAAAAGGTAATTTAATGTACAAGGTTTACAATAAAAAAAAAAGTACATTATTTTCTATTTCTATATCTAAAGGGCAAAGCTTAGTGCATCAGTTCATTACATACAAATACAAATGTAGACAAACAAATGACAGAGCCACAACATTATTCCAAATATGCATGTAAGGCAGGTCAGTCAAAACTACAATAGCTATGGCATCTTTATGTTGAACTGCCACATGCCACACCATTGGGTTTTTTATCATGGACACACCCTGTAACACTGTGTCATGAAGCCATAAGTGCAACTGACAACACTCTTTAAAGTTTTAAAATAAAATTAGCTATCTACTTAGGAAAAAAAACAATAAGTTGTAAAATAACATTAACTTAAAAACTCGACTTTCTTATGCATGTGATAGAAATTGCTTGAGCATCAATCATATGGAAAAATAAAATTGCATAGAATCAATAATCTTCAAACATCTTTATTCACTGCCAATAAATAGCCCTATGACTTTGCTATTTTGTCAACACACTACTTCAATTAGCCAGTCATCCTTAACATGTGAGGCATCAGAACCATCACACAAACAGAATTAACCATTTGGATTACATTCAAGCAACAAGACTTCTCATTACAGCAGCAAAACAAAAAAAAAATCTACAATAAGGCTTGATACATGTGTTAAACCCGTAAAGGAAGAGAGAAAACCAAGTACCTCACATTTAATTGAACAATCAGGCTTTTCATGTATCCGAGGACACCAATCTAGTGCCCAAACAGAGCCTCCAACATTCATCACAAAATCTCTGCTCCAACAATGCTTTAGTTTATTAGCAAGTTCAAAGATAATTTTTATATGATTAATACAAACATGAACTATAACTCCATAGCAATGCCAATGAATAAAACAACACAAATAGCTATATCTTAGCCATACCTGCATTCCTGAGCCTCGGCCTCCCCAAGTTGCTCCTTTTGCATATCATGCTAAAATAAACATATACAATGAAAATGTGTAGAGGTAAATGTTTGAGCAAATTTATATTGCTAAGATTAGCCAGGAAACAAATAAAGAAGTATACAATATGGAACAACTTATACCTCAGGTGTGGAGGCAGATGAAAATGGAGGCAAATTAATGGTACTGACATATTTTCCCACAGAACAATCAGGGCTCTCAAGTCCGTAAGCAAACTTAATTTTTCTTGATGGATACTTAAAATCTCTCCATTCTCTGCACATTAAAAGTAAACAAAAATAATAAATTAAGGGTTTATTTGGAAACTTCTAAATTCTAGATATCTAAGCACATTGGACAGCTTTTAAATATAAGGCCTTTTGTAACTACTAAAGTGCAAAGGTTTTTGTTTCACATTATATAGTCCAATCCAATCACAAACTGTCATATATGGTAACTTTATTGAGTTTGTGATTTCTATTAGAGAATAGAATAATAAACATTATTATTCTATTTTCTAATAATTTCCAACTAGTTGACACTTATTCAACTCTTTTCAGATATAATTATCAGAAAAACCATTTTAAAGTTGGTTTTGTTATGCAGAAGATAGTTGATACAAATAAAGAATTTTCATTACACACATACACAAAAAATAAAATAAATAAATAAATATGCATCATTAACAATCAAAATTGGCACACACACAAACAGGAAAATAGACATAGTTGAAAATCCATACATACACATACATTATGCCCTATGATACACACATACATACATGGATTTGCTAATATAATACACACTTATTTATTTGGTATACATTAACGAGCTACATGGTAGGTACATTTTATATAATCATAGTTATAACTTAATAACATACTCCAACTAAAAATCAAGCCGTTGTAAGCAAATCCCAATATATATACACATTAGTTAGTACCTTAAGAAAGTGACTGAAGAAGACATTCTCTGAATCTCACTCTGGTCAAAAGCAGCACCGTGTTCTTCTTCCCCGCAGAGTCTGGCAATGGTGTCCATGTCTCGGAAGAAACTCTCAACCGAGAAATCAAACGGAGAAATCCTAAAACCACAGGTAGAACTAACATCATCGCCATCGTTGACGGGTGCAGAATTTGGTTCCTTCACAGCACCTGTCTCTGTCGCTTGGCTTGTATTCTTGTTTTTTTTCTTCCCCTTGAAATCGAATATTTCATCGATGCAAGCGCCATCTCTTTAATCACTAGATCTTCACACATAACAAATTCATGCAACAATTTTTCAATTTTCCAAATTTGCATAAAGTACCGATTAGATGTTGGATAAGTGGAGCCTGATATCAAATTTGTCATGACAAAAAAAGGCTTCAAAAACTCGCACATTCTTACAGCTTTATTCCATTCATCATCTGATGGGCAATGAACATAATTCGTATCTTCAATAGCCAAACAACCAAATGTACGTTTGTATTTAATTGCACTATCAAGCATAACATAAGTGGAATTCCATCTAGTGGGCACATCCATTCTCCAACCCATCTTAGTATCAATACCTCTCACTTGAAGCACACATTCTTTAAAAATAATCTTTCTAGCTTCCAATCCTTTTACATATTTTATATTCTCTCTAATTTTTTTCAAAGCATTACTAGCCACCCCCAAACCCTCTTGAACAATGAGGTTCAATATATGTGCACTACATCTCACATGAAAATATGAGTCATTACAAATCAAACTATTTTGCAAATTAAATTGTGTTTTCATCAAATTTACTATTGTGTCATTGACACTTGCATTGTCCAAAGTTATTGAAAACACTTTCCTATCTATCCCCCAATCAAGCAAGATTTCAAATTTTTTTTTGCCATTTCATGACCACCATGTGGAGGATCTAATTTAGAGAAGGCAAGAATCTTACTATTCAGTTTCCAATTAGAATCAACAAAATGAACAATTACACAAATGCATCCTTCCTGAGTTATGCATGTCCTACAATCAGATGTTAATCAAATCCTACTATTAACTTTACGCATTGCATTGTTCACCTTTACTTTTTCTTGATCATGAATCCTCCAAAGGTTAAAAACAGTTGTGTTCCTACTAGGAATTCTTAACCTAGGATATAAATACAAAAGTAGCTCCTTAATCCACTTATACTCAACAAAACTAAATGATAACCAATGTTCAATAATAGCTCTTGAAAGCAAATCTTCAAAATGTTTTTGATCTATTTCTCTAGACCTTAACTTGTCAGCTTGATCAATTATCATATTTCCAATTTGTGAAGATTTTTGTTTTTGCTTTAAGATGTCACACTTTTGCAAATGATGTAACATGGAAGAAGTTCCTATTTTTACACAACCACAAACATATTCATTATCACAATAGTTGCATTTAGCTTTTTCTTTACCATATTTTACCTCAAGTTTAGTAAAATTATCCTAAACTTTAGACGTGATTATCTTAGGCTTCTTAATTGGCCTAAAATCATCAATATCTTCAATAATATGAGAAAGTTGTTCATTTAATCCAGCATCAATAATTTGCTCATGAGTTTCAGATTCCATTCTGTATATTGAAAGCATTAATAAAAAGAAAGTTACTTATACAATCAAACACTAATATATCACTAGTAATGATTAGTAGAAACTACCACTCATAGATTTTTACCACACATTTTAACAATATCTCAAAATCTTCTAAAAAAATTGTCCTCATTTTATGGTGACTAATAAAAAAAATCACAAAATAAAGATATAAGAGTTAAAATGAAAAAAAACTCGTACAATGACTAAAGTATAAAAAATAATTGAAACATAAGTAACGACTAAATTATTAATTAACTTTTTATTTATTTTGTTCTTGTGAGTTACACCAAATGTTCATTCTTTTATAACATATATTAACATTCATTGTTTTTTTTTGTTTTTTTAGTTGTTAATTAGTATCATTGAAGCATCCATTATAATACTTGATGTAATTTTAATTTAGTTTTAATGTAATATAAATCATCCAATATTGTTATGAAAGCATAGGTAAAAATATGGATCTAATTATTTGTGCTTAGGTAACAAGGTGAGGGCCAATCCCATTGGAGCCTAAACCCGATCCATTAAAAGAACAAAACCCTACACACCCTTTTAATCTCTCATCCCCAAAGTGTGTTGTTGCAGGCAGAGAGAAAAGTCAAAGCAGCGGAAGCAAAAGCAAAATGGGTCTCGTAAAAACATTATATTTTCTACTTGAATTCTTATTTCCCTCAGACTTGAACATACTGTAGAAGAATGTCAAGGGAGACAGATTGGCGAAAGATACCATTATGTGGGGGATAACAATTGATACAAGTGATTAATGCATGGAAGTTATATATCGTGTTTAGAGCGTAATGAAACTCTCATGAATTTGGAAGAGAAGAAAATGAGATAGCACCTTATAGGCCGAGTTCAACAACTGCAACGCAAAGCTCGTTCCCCTTGATGAGCACTTAGCACAAGGCAATGTGGCTGAGAGTGGTCCTTAAGCCGAAGAAGTTGTCCTTTGTGAGGTTCATGAGGCACGCAACGAGTTCCCTTCGAATCTTCGTGACGACTACGTGATCCTAATTCTGAAGTTGAAGTTGTTAGTCTCCCTCCAAGCGAAACTTGTAGAGGGGGTAGGAGGCGTGGAGGTGGAGGGCAATTTGTTCCTTGCTAGAATAAGATTTTGAGTCTTTTGACTGTTTTGTTTTGGAATTTGGACTTTGGTGTGTGTGTCTCATTGTATTGTCCGTTGCAAGAAAAAATAGGTGGGCTGGTGGGCTGTCCAACCCACCACGGGTTCAGTCTGAGTAGGTCGAGTTTAGATATATCCACTTACTATAAATGTTTCATTTATTTTGGCCCGGCCTGATCTGTTTTCAAGGTGGGTCGGGTTGGTCCATGGGCCACAACCCATTTTGACGACTCTAGTTTTTACCGACCATGAATACAATGGGTAATAGTTAATTGTTGGCAAAAAAAAATTAGTGGTTGTTTATATGGCCATTAAAGGACATATTAATAGTCGTTAAAAGCAAACTTTGGTGCAGTGATTTGAGTGTGTAATTTGTTGAGTATGGTGACTTTTGTTGCCTTTTTAACGAGGTATTTATGTGGTTGCATGACTCTCTCTTGCCATAATCAATTATAGTTCATATTCTTTAATATTTATACATTTTTAGTTCCCATACCAATTCATAAGCAAGTTAAGAACAACATACATGTAAAAAATAGAAGCCAAGTCTTCAATGAAGAAGGTGGCAACAACAACACAACTTTAACAAGTACTAACACCACGGCAACAACACAAAAAATAGCATTATAAGCATTGTAAGTCTAGTTGATTTTGTTTGTGTATCTGGGAACCATAATTGATTATAATTTGTCTATAATCGATTATGACTTCTAAAATTAAAGACTTCTAACATACTATAATCAATTATGACATTCACATAATTGAAATATGGCTCAATGTGAGTTCATAACAAAGAATCATAATCAATTGTGGCAAAATTCATAATCAACAATGGTTAGTTGATATGTTATGATGTATATGTTTCATAGCTTTCACATAAAGAACCATTATTGATTATGGCAAAACCCACAATTGATTAGGGTTCCTCGCATATGTTAGAGCATATGCATTTCAAAGAATTATAATTGATTATGGTTCTTTACATTTGTTCATTATTTTGTAATTTTTAAAGCTATTTATTACACACATTGTTAATAATTTTCATGCAATAAAATAAAAAATTCAAATACATATGGCATAATTGATTATGTCACGTCCTTGTATTAAAAAAATGTTGATATAATTGATTATATTAATACATAAATTAAAAAAACTTTTTTAAATTAGGTAAGGGTGATTTAATTAATTTAAAAAAACTTTATTTTTGTTTTCTTATCTATTGCATTGTTTTTTTAATCTTTTTTAATTCATGCTTATCATCTATTCAAATCATTACTCCTTTCTACTTTATTTTATCTCTTTTCATTCCTCACACTTTCATTATTTTTTCTTTGACATATTCTAGTATTTTAAACACTATTAATTAGGAACAAAGTGATATTTTGTATCTATGTTTTAAAAAATAAATAAATAAAAGAAAAAGTGAAAAAAATAAAATTGTTGCCACATTTGCTTAAAAGAATACCAAACACGTTTATGTACAATTAATTTATTTTCAAAGTAATATGATTTCAAATTTCAGTTACAAATATTTTATTTTTCAAATTTATTCTGTCAAATATATTATAATAGTTGAAAGAGAGTATTGATATTTATATTTAGGGGAATACATAAGCTTATAACATATTTTTGTTTTCACATTTTTTTACATAAGTTAACTCTTAAATATTTAAATAATAAAAAATAGTTTTAAATATGTTTTTAGTCCATCAAATTTAAGATAAATTTGTTTATAGTTTTTCAGTTTTAAAATTGATTTTTTTAGTCTCTATAATTAAAAAAAAATCTTATTTTAGTCTTTATATTTAATTTTTTTTAGAAAATTTATCAAATATTATGACATAAAATCTACTTACTAATATCTCTGTTAGTAAAAATTTCACATTAAATCTTGGTGATATTATATAATTATTTTAATTTGTCAATTGCAAATATGTTATTGGTGACTTGAAGAAGTAAAACAAGATTTTTGAAAATTACAGGGACCAAAAATAATAATTTTAAATTTGAGAAACGAAAAACAAATTTACCTCAAATTTGAGAAATTAAAAACATATTTAAACCTTAAAAATAATATTGAAAGTTACTTTTATTCATACTACTGAAATAAGTTAACTATCCATAACCACTCAAATTCTCAAATTGTTAACCACTTATTTTATTATTTAATCTTAATTCTTTTATTTTATTTTAAAATTTTAATATGTACTTATCTATACCTATATATAAAGGGGGTACATTGGTTTGTAACCATTTTTTCTTCTCCATATTTTTAAGATAATTTTATCCCTAAATATTTAAATTGAAAATTACTTTTGTTCTTACCACTTAAATAAGTTAATTACTTGTAACTACTCAAATTCTCAAATTGTTAACTACCTATTTTATTATTTAATCCCAATTCTTTTATTTTATTTTAAACTTTTAAATAAAATATAGAGACACATGGTACTTTAACCCTACTAGTGATATATAGATTTATTACTAATTGCTAATATACATATATATATATATATATATATATATTGAAATATAAATATAAAATTATTATTAGTAGTATAACAATATACTCCCTTTATTTTCTATTATAAGAAAATAAAATTGATTTTATGTATATTAAAAAAATTGGTTATTTGTATTAAATTTTATTACTTTCATAAAATTTTTTCCTAAATATTTATTGTTATAAATGTAAAAATAAGTAGTACAACTCAAAGGTCATGCATTAAAGGAGAGATATTTTTAAAAAAATATCATCAAATAATGTAAAAGTATTTAAATTTACATATATTTAAGAACAAGAAATGTAATTTTTTCTTATAATAAAGAATAGAGGGAGCAGGTATTGATTTAAAGTCTGTTTGGAACTTTGGATACTATTTAAAAACATTTTTGAGAACTTCTCTACTCAAAATTCTTTATTTTAGTAGAGAAGTTTTTAGAAACACTTTTTAGACTTGTATTCAAACATGTTTTTATCAGTAATATTTAGGAAATTGTGTTTTTGATCCCTATAGTATTATAATTGTGTGATCTTGATCCCTAAGGTTCCAATTGAGAATTTTAATTTTTCAAGTATCGTAATTGTGTAATTTTGATACTCAAATTTTAACTAAACAATTTTAGTCCCTAAAGTATCATAATTGTATAATTTGATTCTACTAAGTATTACAATTATACAATTTTGATCTATTCAAGTTACATATATTATAATTTTTACTATATTAAATGATATATATTTATTACAATTGAAATTACTAATATATATAACTTGGTAAAAAAAATTGTACAATTGCAACATAATAGACTAAAATTACACAATTACAATATTTGAAGATTAAAATTTCTTTATTATAAATTGAGGGACCAAAATTATACAACATAATTATTGATTGACTAAAATTACTTAATTATAATTTGAGTAACTAAAATTGCACAACTATTATATTTGAAGGACCAAAAATGCATTTAACACTATCATTTATTAGTATCAAATTACACTCTCTATTATCCACTGGTGGGGTCAAGATACTTTGTGTCTTTATATGTATTTTATCTTAAGAGAAAATTAATTCATCTATTGATATAAGTTTCTATTGACATAAATAATTTTACTTATTTATACTAGAGGGTTTGAAGGACTTCGTGTCTTTAATAGTTATACACAAATAAATATTAGAAGTTGTGGATAAATATTCAAAGAGAATATAATTTTTTTTATATAACTAAAAGGTATAATGATCCACTAAAAATAGATACCAATTACCAAAATATATTCTCTTTATAATAAGTATAGATTATAAACAAAAAAAAAACACATTTTTTTCTTAAATATTAACAAAATTCAACTATTTTACCTTATTTAATGATTATCTCCCTAAATTATCTATCAATTAATGAATGAACTTTTGATTAGAATATTTCTTTTAATTTTTATTAAACAAATAATTAAAAAAATATATTATAAAATTAATATAAATAATGGAATTCCTTAACATTTGTGAATCAATTATTTTTTAAATTTATAACTATAATAAAAGTAATAGACTTTTTTTTTTTTTTACATATTTCTTGAACTATTTTATTCTTTCATAACTACTTCTAACTCATTCACATAAATTCTAATCTCCAAACTTGTCTCACATCATAAATAATCTATAACTATAATCTTCTTTAACTATAATAAACCCGACAAACATTTTTCATCTATACATTTCTTAGACTATTTTATTCTTTTATAACCATTTTTAATCCATTTAGGTTTTAACCTCCAAACTTCTTTCAATCATAAATAAATAGTTTACTTACTTCATAAATAACCACATATATTTTTAATAACCACTCAATATTATACATTTTATTATTATTTATTACTTTTTAAAATAATTTATAGAAATACAGAAAATCTTTCATACAGCAGTACTTATAATGAAAAAGGAGAGAAGTATTGATTATGAAAAAAATAAATAAAAAAACAGTGGCATTAATAAAAAGGGTAGTCGTGGTTGGTTAAGAAGGAAGGGTGTCTTGTCACTTTGCGCCCAATGTTGTAATCAACGAAGCAGTCTCTCTGGGTTTTGGGAGACATCGAACTACCGTGTCGGAGGGGGAGCGTGTGTGCGTGGCCACCACCAACTCCACCTCGAAGCCTCCAACAACAACTCACTCCTTCCCTTCCTTTCGTTGCAACTCTCCATGTTCCTCTTCTTCAGGGTTTAACCCCTCTCGCTTCTTCCCATGCCCTGTCCCTGCCACCCCACCTCCTGAACAACCTTCCACAACCACCCCGTAAGTTCCTAGCCCCTAATCCCCTCCAAAAATCTCATCTTTTTTCCTTTGCCCCCTTCAATCTTTGTTTTTCCTCCCCCATACCCCTGATGTTAGTTCTACTTAGTTCCTAGGGTTTTTGTCTGTTTCATTATTTAATTTTGTTTTGCTGAACTTAACTGCGTTACTGGAGTCTCACTGCTTTAATTTCCTGTACTGTGTTGTTGGGTTAGTGTTATTTATTTATTTGGGTATTATTTGAGATAAAAAAAAATCATATTTTAGTGTGTCTGAGGTGTTTTTATTTCTGGGGTTAGGAAAGTGTGGTCCTGATGGCATGGATGGAAGATAATGATGGTAATGGGAGGGAAAAGAAACTGGTTGGGGAAAATGGGTTTTTGAAAGTGTCTGAGCCTTCTTCTGGAGGTTCTGCTGTGGATGATGGGGGTTCGGTGAGTAAGAGATGTGAAGGGAAGGATGATGTTTCTTATGCCAACATCCTACGGTCGAGGAACAAATTTGCCGATGCTCTTGCTATCTATGAGCGTGTGTTGGAGAGTGATGGTGGGAATGTGGAGGCTCTTATTGGGAAAGGGATATGTTTGCAGATGCAGAATATGGGTAGGCTTGCTTTCGAGAGTTTTGCCGAGGCGATCAAGTTGGATCCTCAGAATGCTTGCGCCCTCACGCATTGTGGTATTCTGTACAAAGACGAAGGTCGCCTCATGGAGGCTGCTGAGGTATGTCTGTGCCGCTGAATTAAGTATGACATGGTTTTTCTAATTTCATTTGTTCAAGATGGGAAGTGCATAGCTGCTTAATGAAATTTTCCAGTTTTCATTTGAAGCTTGTGTTTATCTAACCTAATGGTGATGATAAATTTATAGGTTTAATTTTTGATTGCATTCCATCTGACATTATCTGTTGGGCTACATGTATTATGTTGAGTGAGGCATTAGCATACAATACAACTCTTTTAGTTTATTGATTATGACCAGACACCACTTCCTGGTTATGCTTGCACATGTGATTATTCACAAAGTTGGTGAAGTTGTAGTTCTTTCCGATATGAATACATAAACTTGAGATTAGATTTATAGAAATTAGAAAGTTCTGTGAATTACTTTAGTGAGAGCACTCTTCATCTTGTGTATTTATATACATATTAAAGAGTGAATACTTTTTACACTTACGCGGACAATAATAATAATAGAGATTTAACCTATATTTTACAACTCTAGTCTTTCCAATGATACATAGCTCCTATAATTCCCAATGACTTATTAATCACTATGATTATTCCCAAAGTGAATGATAATTTGACAAGCATCATATGGTAGCATGCCATCCCTGATAATGTGCAACAGCAAGTCAAATAAAAAACGAGTACAATCATGTGTGCACCCTTGTAATTCCTTCCAGTGATCTTTATTGTTCATTTCACCCCACTTCACTTCAATTGGGAATATTGTACATATCATATTTGAATGTGTTATCACAGTGCTTGATTATTTGTCACTCTATGAACTTAGTTCAGTAAGATGTTGATCAAGTTTGCTGATACTGAAATCGAGAATCTGAAGTTTCCATGATTTGCATGCTTGCATGTGTAGAAAATCTGTTTCTATCCACCTCTATTCAGTTCCACTGATTATTGACAAAAAATTTTCTTTTGGGAAACACTTCAGTTATATATGAAGCATAATTAGTTAATGGTTAATAGATCTGCTAACTTGATTTTCTTTTAGAAATATAATTTAATCCTTTTAGTTTTTAATTGGAAAATTCAGATACTTAGACTGCTAGCCTATTTTACTTAAATAAGTTTAGGACATAAAGGGATGTATTTTCCTGTAATTATTCATGTCACTGTTCTGCTTTATGGCCTTGGTATTTTGACTTAAGAACCTAAAAATTTCCTTCTAGTTATGGATTAGCCACAAGGCCGCAATTGGTTAATATTTTGGGGGTATGTCTGATTAGGGTATTATGAGGCTGCAATTGGTTAATATTTTAAAGGTATGACTGATAGTGTGTTATGATTTATGCATAGTTTAATCTAGATGTTCATTGTTTTACATTTGAATTTGCCAGTGTCAAAGTTTTGACAGTTACCTCATTGTTTAACTTATTTCCCATGCTAGTATTTTGAGAAGTTGGTTGAAATCTGCATTGAAGTGTTGAGGGAGTAATAAGAGGAGCATATTTTAAAAATTGTCTTAAGTACACTCTGCTCTTGGGGGGCATTTGGAAGAGCTTATTTGAGCCTATGAAAATGGCTTATGACATTCAAATAAGTTCTCTGTAGCTTATTTTGATGAGCTTTACAAAGAAGCATGTCAATTAAGCTCTTTCTAACCTATTTCACTTATCTTTACAGTCAAGCTTATGGATCATTTGATAACTTCTGATTGCATAAGTGCTAAATTAAGCTATTTACCCAAACAAATATTTGATTTTTATATAATGAATGCAATTAATAAATACAAATGGTACAATTTTCCTGATTACTACATTTACATGACACACTGAACTTTGGCACCAAGTCTGAACTTTAGACATAATGATACACACTTCAAACACAAGTCATAACTGATAATATAATGATTTACTTGGAACAGTCATATCAAAAGGCTTTACATGCGGATCCTTCATACAAAGCAGCTGCTGAGTGCCTAGCCATTGTTTTAACGGATATTGGCACAAACATAAAGCTTGCAGGAAACACTCAGGAAGGAATTCAAAAATATTTTGAAGCTCTCAAAATAGATCCACACTATGCTGTAATTCTCCCTCACTTCCTCCATTTAACCTTTATTATTTAGTCCCTTTTAAATTTATTTAGTTTCTGGGTGCGTTATATTAATTTTGTGATATTAATTTTATTCTTTTTATCCGTGCTTGCAGCCAGCATATTATAACCTTGGTGTGGTCTATTCTGAAATAATGCAATATGACATGGCCCTCACTTTCTACGAAAAGGCTGCATTAGAGAGGCCTATGTATGCTGAAGCATACTGTAACATGGGTGTAATATATAAAAATCGTGGTGATTTGGAAGCAGCTATTACTTGTTATGAGAGGTAATACATATATCTAGAGCAAGAGCTTGTACTTCTTTTTATGGGACATGTAATTTTAGTATTTTGTTTAATGTGCTTTTTGATTAGTTTAGTTTATTTTGTCTTAAAATAAGTTATAATCAAAATCTTATTGACAGAGGTTTTGAAAAAAGAAATAAAAAGATTTCTTCCTTAACATTAATCCGTAGTTATCAATAGCGGTGGAGCAGCGCAGAGTGGCTGAGTGCCGCTTCAGAAAACTTGATGCAGAGCGCTTTAAAGGAGCGGCCGTGAAAGCAGCAGAGTGATCACGGGTTGGGTGGTGGGTTTTCTCTTCTTCTTTTTGGCGGATCTCTATAGATCTGTTTTCTTCTCTGGCGGATCATCACAGGTCTGTCTTCTTCTCCGGCTGGCACCGGATATGTCTTCCCAGCCGACGGCTTTGTCATCTCTAGCAGATCATTTGCAGATCTGTCTTCTTCTAAGGGGGGAGGCGGCGGCGGCGGCGGCTAATGGGTCTTAGGGTTAGAGGGTTACAACAAACAAATTAGGGTTGGAAAAGTTGGGCCAATGGGCCCAAATTTATTTATTTTCTCTTTTGGTTTGGTTAATGGCCCTAATTTAGGTTAAGTTTATTTTTACTTCTCTATTTTTTTAGACAGTAACTTCTCTTTATTTTTAATTATTATAATTCAGATAATATCTTAAGTAATAAAAAATTTAATATAAGACCTTAAACATTTTGTTTTCTTAAGTTTCTATTTTTTTAATATTTTTTTAACTACTATAAATTTTTATTATTAAAAATAAATGTATAAATTGAGTTATTTTTCTATTTTTATATGTGTATTATTAATTATTATATATTTTAAATTATTTAATATATATGTATGCGTGAGTGTGTATATATATATATATAATATATGTATGTATGTATGTATGTATAAATTAGAATAGCGGTCATCTCGTTATCCACTACCCCGCAATCCCACTTTTGGGGTTGACTGCTCCTCTCTGCTATCCGGGATTAATAACTATTTATTAATCTAATCCTAACATGCACTTAATGACTTGATTTCTGCTGTTGCCTTCTTTGATCATTTGATGTTGTGTTTGATGTTTTGTGGCAGGTGTTTAGCTGTTTCACCTAACTTTGAGATTGCAAAGAATAATATGGCTATAGCCTTGACAGATTTAGGAACAAAGGTGATGCACATGTCATCCACATATTGGCAATTGTTTTTGGGCAACCCTATTGATATTTTCATTTTATATGGCGTCCTGTTTCTTTTATTATAAAAGGAAAAGTACTTTAACTATCAACATGTATAATATTGCAATGGTAATGAAATTGAAGCAAGTTGGTGATCAATGCAATGGAGCTTGTCTTTTTTATGCAATTTTGAAGTAATGTAAAGCTGTTTGCTTGATAAATCATTGGGTTGTTCCTAGGACTGATGCTTTTAACTTGATTTTGGAGTGGCTTATATAAAATACAGAATATTGTTTTTGTTCCCTGTGGATCAGGAACAAATTTTATGGAAGTTATTTTGACTTGAAACCAATGGTTATTGCTTCTCAAGTAATGTTTATTTTTTTTCTTGTCTAATGTTTATTCTATTGGTTTGTAGGTTAAATTGCATAAGTTGTCAACTTTGAATCACTTTGTCTTACTTATGGAAATAATTGTTTTGGTTTATAGGTTAAATTGGAGGGCGATATTAACCGTGGTGTGGCTTTCTATAAGAAAGCCTTATATTATAATTGGCATTATGCTGATGCTATGTATAATCTTGGGGTTGCTTATGGTGAGATGCTCAAGTTTGATATGGTATGTCTCCCAGCCCATATTTTTAAATATGCATTTGCATGTATGATATTAAATGTTAGCATAAAACGTTATTGTATTACAAAAACTAATTACCTTCTTGTAATATTTATTTATACCACTTAGGCTATTGTGTTCTATGAACTTGCCTTCCACTTCAATCCGCATTGTGCGGAAGCTTGTAACAATTTAGGTGTTATATATAAAGACCGTGACAACCTTGACAAAGCAGTGGAATGTTACCAGGTAATGACAAGCATGTCAGTTGTTTTCACCCTTGTTGGAGGGATTGCATAAAATTTTTATCACAACTTCTTTTCTTCCTTTAATGCAGCTTGCTTTGGCAATCAAACCTAACTTCTCTCAGTCATTAAATAACCTTGGCGTTGTATACACTGTCCAGGTTAAATATGTGTGCTTTCCTATATTTGGAACTTGGGAGTTAATCCGATGCCTTTGGTTACTGATTTTATTCTCTTTCTCGTTCTCCAGGGTAAAATGGATGCTGCTGCAAGCATGATTGAGAAAGCTATCATTGCAAATCCAACATATGCAGAAGCATACAATAACCTAGGTCTTTTTTTTTTTTTTTTTTTTCCTTCTGTGATCGATAATTTGTTTAGTCATTGTGATCACAATCACATAGTGGGATAAGGCTATTGTTGTTGTTTAGTCAATGAAGTTTTACTATGACTTGAATTTTCTTGTGTTAGTCAAGGTTGTGCTGCTTCTTGTTTGACATGTTGCAAGCATAGTTCTAGAATTGGCTATGTGGCTTTTATCAATCATCAGTTGTGTGATTGTTATGTAAAATGGTTTTCTTATGTGGACTTTGGTTGAGAAGAGTCAACTAAGCATCATATTGCTCACTAATCCAACTGTGAATGAGTATCATTATAAACTTACCATGATGATCAGAAAAGGTGAACAAATATTGCTCAAATAGGTTCAAGTTAGTCATATCTGCTTGCTCTTTGGTCAGGCCATTTTTTCTAGAAGTCTATTGAATAATTTATAAGTAGATAAATTCCTAGAGATTGACCAAAAAGATGGTTACAAAGCTTATGTTGAATACAACTGCTGAAGCAAGGATAGCTAAAATTGCTTTGAACAGCATTGATTTATAAGCATTCCATCCCAAAAGAGTTTTGAAAAGTTGCAACTGATTTTGTTTACACGCTTTGCATGGTGGAGCCTTCTGATATCCAAATATGGATTTAGTTGCAAAATATGATTTATTTTAATGTGCAAAAGTAAATCAAACTCTTAGCCCATTTTTACCATTCACTTTATCTTTTTGTATTCTTGTTGTGCAGGAGTTCTCTACAGGGATGCTGGTGATATCACTCTTGCAATTAATGCTTATGAGCAATGTCTTAAGATTGATCCTGATTCTCGAAATGCTGGCCAGGTCTGGTGCATTATGGGTGAATGTTTTGTTCTTGTTGATTTTGTAAAATTTTCCTAGGTGAAAGTTGCCATTGCTGGTGCTACATAATATCATTAAATTGTGGTTTTGTTGAGAATATGTATTGAAACTAGGTTTGAATCGGTCATTATTCCTCAAAGCTTATGCCAAATACTGTTGGAGCTATTGAGAGAAATTACATTGATATTTAAACTCTTTTAGGCCATCATTTCTAATATAGAGGATTTCACTTAACCCTTCAACAACTTCTTTTGATGAACAAGCTGACAGGACAATCAAGCCACTCTAACTGCTGTAAAATAGAATGTTAGAATATCAGTTTGGGCCTAATTCAACCATACAAAATCAACTTGTAATATGAGGACTAACCAAACTTTATAAGCTCTATTTAAATCATATCTCTAGATGATGAGACTAAACCATCATCCTTGATGCTGCAATTAAGGCAGCCCCCCTAAAGGCCGTATGTAAGATGGGCTAGGGGTGACTGCAATTAAGGTGGCTTTCCAACAGGTTTATATCACATAATTGATAAGAAGCCCACTTATACTAGAAACCTTTAGGGTTTAGTCCTTCTAAATAAAAAGGGAAACAAGCAGGAGTGGTTTGACATTAGAGTTTTAAGTAAAGGGAATATATTTGTATAATAACTGGCTTGTATTTAGTTGTGGGCTTGCCAAATAGGTGATCTGACTTAACTGGAATTTATATAACCCCTTAAAATTGTCATGACCTCTTATACAGGATTGCTAACCTCCAACCTTTGTTGTAGAAAAGAATAATTTTTTTTGATCATATATATGTGTGTGTGTGTGTGTGTGCAATGTCAAATATGTTTTGATATACTGGGTTTAAGTATTGGGGACTGAGTACTTTATGTAATCTTCATCCATAATTGTTTATGCTTTTTGTCTCTGTGTGAACCTGGATGTAGGTTTATAGTCCTTTATTTCTCTTCTTATTCTTTGCTTAGCATCTGATTAAAGAGAGTTTGCGTCTCTCTTTATATTGCCAATAATGATTGTTCTAATCACTTTTTGGTTTCTTTTAAAGTCTATTTCTCTTCCTTTTTCCTTTTGGAAAATTAATCCACCAAAAAGTCTGTGGCAAATGGCAAATTGGATTTTTCTAAAACAGACGAATTGATTTGTCAAGCAATATTGTAATATGCTATAGCAGTGTCAAAGACCAATTCCTCCATAAGGTTGTTAGTTAATGGACATGAACGACTTCATTAAAACCTTAACATGCCTCCTCGTTCAAGAGTCTGTTGAGCTTGAAGAATAGATAATGCTTAAAGGTTTTTTGCTATGTGCTGATATTCAACATTTATTAAGAGTTTTGTCAAGGATTGAACTCCTCTACACATTAAGGTTTGTGACTATGTCATGAACCAACTAACCCAAAAAGATTAAGTTGGAGACTATTGGGAAAAACCCAAGTCCCACATCGACTAGAGATTAGGCATAAACTTTACATTAGGATCCATGGGACTGTCAATTGGCTTACAATCTGTAAGTCCGGTCTCTTCTAGAATATCAAGGGCATATTTTCTCTGAGAAATAGCAATTTCGGACTTTGACTGAGCGACCTAAATCCCAAGGAAATAACGTAGGGGACCTAAATCCTTAGTTTGAAAGTGTTTAAATAAGTGTTGCTTCAGAGCCTTGATGCCCTCCTGATCATAACCTGTAATCACAATATCATCTACATAAATAACAAGATAGATAAATCTATGTGTTACACAAAAAAACATAAAAAAAAAAACACTTTATCAAAGTTTAAAAGATTAGCTTTATCAATAATGGAGAATATTAGCTCTATTAGAGTTTCGAAGAAAGATGAGTCCTCTAATGATAATCCTATGTAATATAATACACACTTATTTATTTGGTAGACATTAACAAGCTACATGGTAGGTACATTTTATATAATCATAGTTATAACTTAATAACATACTCCAACTAAAAATCAAGTGGTTGTAAGCAAATCCCAATATATATACACATTAGTTAGTACCTTAAGAAAGTGACTGAAGAAGACATTCTCTGAATCTCACTCTGGTCAAAAGCAGCACCGTGTTCTTCTTCCCCGCAGAGTCTGGCAATGGTGTCCATGTCTCGGAAGAAACTCTCAACCGAGAAATCAAACGGAGAAATCCTAAAACCACAGGTAGAACTAACATCATCGCCATCGTTGACGGGTGCAGAATTTGGTTCCTTCACAGCACCTGTCTCTGTCGCTTGGTTTGTATTCTTGTTTTTTTTCTTCCCCTTGAAATCGAATATTTCATCGATGCAAGCGTTTTCGTCTGCGTCTCCCATTCCTCTTTGGAGTAGATGAATGTAAAGGTTTCGGAGATGTCAGGTCCCGAGGTTCGAACCCTAAACCTGCTACAACACAGTAAGCAATTGTTTTTGCTATTATATATAAACCCAAATCCTTTAATCAATAATAATTCAATTTATTTTTTAATTATTTTTTATCTATAACATCCATAATCTATCTATAATTTATAATGATATATAAAGGATATTTTTCTCTCAATTATGTTTAATTTTCAATTATTTTATCTTTCACAATTTCTTTAAAAAAAATAAGTTAACTTATTTATATTTAAATTTTTATTTTATGTTTTGGTCTTTTAACTTCTTTAAATAATTGCAAATTACAGTTTTTTATAAATAAAAATCTCTCACTATTCACACAATTGTCTTTTTTCTCTCCTTTCATCTCCTGCTGTACCTAATTACTTTTAAAGTTTTTATTTTTTAATAAAAAATAAATAAAATATAAAACATTTTAACTCCATTAATATATAATAATAATATAATCAATTTATGTTGTGATTGGATAGAATAATTTTAAATTTTAAATTTCTTCAATCTCAAAATCTTGTGTTTTGAATAAAATAATTAAATTTCTTTATTTTTAAATTTTTTATTTTGATTAATTAGCTAAATTGTTCTAGTGAATTTTAGAAGTCTCAAGAATCTTAAATTTTTAAAATTTCAATTGAAATTTCTACACTTATAAAAAAAATTTATAAATAAATTAATTTTTTCCATTTCTATTTGGATAAGGCAATTAAATTTTTTCATTTATAAAATTTCTTATTTTGATAAAATAATCAATTTTTTACTTTTAAAATTTTATATTTGAAAAAAGAATTTAAATATCTTTTATTAAAAATAAGTTTTTTAATTTTTCATTTAAATGCTACATTATTTAAATAGAATAAATTTTTATTTATTTAATATTAAAAAAATCATAACATTATTGCTAATTAATCTTTACTAATATGAATAGACCTTTTAATACTTGTTATTATGTATTATAAGTTTTTTTATTGGTTTAATTTGACTTTCTTAAAAATTTAGTTTAGCTTATTAACTTATTTTATATTAACGATGTTAATTAAGTTAATAAATATATTTTTTAAAAATTTAACAAATATATTTTTAAATATATCGAGATGAGTTATTTTTTTAATTTGTGTGGTAAATATAATTTATTCAATATTATTAAAATTTATATTTCAAAACAAATATATAGAATATAACAAAGAAAGAAACAAATAAATAAATATTTTTTGTTAAATAGATAATTCATGCACACTCATGTATGTTGACGTATGCATTCATAATATGTCTAGTTGATTGCTATTTTTAATATCCCATTTTAAGTTCTTATTTTGTAGTTAAAATATTTTACCATATTATAAGATAGTTGTTATTCATGCATGTAACAAAAAAAAACATAAAAAAAAAAACACTTTATCAAAGTTTAAAAGATTAGCTTTATCAATAATGGAGAATATTAGCTCTATTAGAGTTTCGAAGAAAGATGAGTCCTCTAATGATAATCCTATGTTACGTAATAGAAAAAAGGTCAAAACAAAGGATTATGGGTCTGATTCTATTGTTGAGGATGCTTGTATGGACGAGTTGATGGATGGTGTAGCGGAAAGGGTCAAAACGAGAAGAGGGAGGGCCGGCGAGTCCAACCGAGTGAACCGCGTCGCAAACGGAGGCTGGGAGGGCGGCGTGTGAAGCCCACGTGTCGGCGAGCTTCCTCAACAAGAACCGCGCGTGAGAGCGTGTGAGATGGCGGATGACGGTGGCTCTCGACGGAGAGGCCGATCGGTGACCTCTGAGTGTGCAGGCGGTGTCAACTCCGGCAACCGCGAACAAAACTTGAAAACCCTAGAAACCCTAGATGTTGGCGGCTGGATTAGGGTTCCTGGACCAGAGAGCTCTGGTACCAACTTGAATATGAATAATTTCTTATTATTGAATCTGAATAGGTACAATAAAATAAATAGGCATAAAACATAATCAATCCCTAAAGTTTAGGGATTTAGATAAAACTGACTAAGGAAACTAAACTAGAAAATAGGAGAAGATAAACTAGTATATCTAAACTATATCTTATAGAATTATCTTAACACTCCCCCTCAAGCTGGAGCATATATATCATATGCATCTAGCTTGTTACATATATATGTTATCCTAGGACCTCGTAAAGATTTAGTAAAGATATCTGCAAGTTGATCCTTGGAGCAAACTGAGGTGGTCTTGATGATACCGGAGATGATCTTTTCTCTGATGAAATGGCAGTCAACCTCTATATGCTTTGTTCTCTCATGAAAAACTGGATTAGAGGAGAGGTATAAAGCTGACTGGTTATCACAAACTAGTTCCATATGACCAACCTTGCAAAACTGCAACTCTTGAATTAAGAATTTTAGCCACAAGAGCTCACATGTGGTGTGAGCCATAGCACGATATTCTGCTTCTGTACTTGATCGTGCAACAACACTTTGCTTTTTACTCTTCCATGAGACAAGATTACCACCCATGAAGACACAATAGCCTGATGTTGACCGCCTATCACTTGCATCACCTGCCCAATCTGCATCTGAATATCCAACAATGTCTGTATGTCCTCTATCATTGTAAACAAGTCCTTTTCCTGGTGATCTTTTGATGTATCTAAGGATTCGAACAACTGCAAGCCAATGACTCTCACAGGGAGAGTTAAGAAACTGACTTTCAACACTGACAAGAAAGGATATATCAGGTCTGGTCATGGTCAGATAATTCAATTTTCCCACTAATCTCCGATATCTCCCTGGGTCAGGACAAGTCCCACATCGACTAGAGATTAGACAATTGAATAGTATATAAGTGGAAAGCAACCCTCACCTTACAAGTCGGTTTTGTAGGGTTGAGTTAGGCTTAATCCACTATTCTAAGAGAGACTAATCATTAGGCATTGGCATTGACATCTCCAGCAATTTAAGAATTCTTGAAATGAATCTAAATTGTAATGCTTTCCCCTACCGATTTGTGATCACCAGCCTTGCCGTGCCAATCAAGTGAGATTAAAAATTTAAAATCCCCAACATCTTCAAATCCCATGCCACATCTTTTTATAATGTAGAAATGGAAACTTTTTCGAACTAATCCAACTCCAAAGTATCTTACTTTATTTTTGGGTTCCTTTTACTTACTTTCCCCCACTAATATCTTGCCTCCCATCCTTTTAAGTTTTGGTAGAGGGTTTTGAGAGTTTAAAGAAAGACCTTGCTTATATGGTATCTCTAAAGCTGCAGAGTTTTTGCATCCGACCTAGCTTGCAAACCCATTTTTCTCTTATTTCTGCTTTTTATGCTTTCTTGGATTTGTTACGGGAAGCCTAGATACTTATCTTTGCTTGTACATGAATAAGTCAGTATCTTGATGATCGAAGATTCATTTCACCCCGTTCCCCTTTTCCTCTCCATGTCTCTGGTTCTTAACTTTGAATTTCTTAGAAAAACAGAGGTGAGTTAAAGTTGCTATAATGATTAGTAAAGGTAGTTCAGTTAGGTGTTAATGGCCTTGAAAGCTTTCTATTTATTTATTTTTTTAAATTCATATAATTTTCTCATAATTTGGAAATATTTTTTTGTTATATTTACATTAGCTGTGACTTGATACAGGATCGGGATGATTCTATTTTGTTGCTTGCAAGAATTATTTCTTAATTGTTAGGTGTTCTTTGTCTTCTTTTTTCCTACAGCAATTGATATCTCTTTTTACTACACTAACGTGCAGAACCGTTTGCTTGCGATGAATTACATTGATGAAGGAAATGATCAAAAACTTTTCGAGGCTCACAGGTACAGCGTTCTCCTGTGATTTTAAAATTTTAATTTTGATTATTGATAGTGTTGATCACTGCCATTATCGTAAACTTTTCATCAATTCACTGATTGTTTTATAGATTTTCATAAAAAAGTATGATTTCCCTAGGTGATGAGAGAAATAATACTTGGTTTCCTGGTCAACTTCATTGAACTTTTCATAAATGTTTGTTAAAATATATATTTTTTGTAGTTGATGAAAAAAATAAAATACTTCAATTGATTGCCTGAAAGTGACACATATATATCATCTGTTTTGTGCTGGTGAAGAGAGATAGTTTGTGCCTTTTTATTAGCTATTAGCTATTGATAACATTGATGATGATAATAAAGAAAAATAAAATTAAAACAGTTAAAAGAATTTTTTTTTTCTTGTCTAGCTGTGTACTAAGAAAGAAAAGAACAAATAGAGAAAGCTTGATTGAGTTTTAAAGATATGAAGAGATTAATTTTCTATGGCATGCATCAATGGGATGAAATGATTTCTGGTATCCTGGTTGTTAACTTCAAAGCACAAAAGCTCTTATTCCAGTAAATTTTTTTTTGAATAAGATACCTTTTACTCGTTAACTTGAGTTCATTGTTTTGGGTGCCGTGTTGAGATCTCTTTAACTAGTCATTGTATTGGAAAATATGTCCTAAAGTTCTTAAGTGTTTATTTACACTAAAGTAATCCATTTATATGATCATGAGAGTAGCTGATTAACACTTTTAAATCATAATTGGCTTGTTATATAGGAATATAAAATCCATGTTCCTGTGTTTTGTATGTTTAGAAATGTATGTTTCTTCCTGTTGACACTGCCAGAAGTGTTTCTTTATGTGATTAATGATGTACATGGGTTTTGATTGGTGGTAGTTTCAATTGCCAAATTTTTTTCAGCCATAATATTTTTATGCATAGCAACTTACCTTGAGTAAAAAAAAGTAGAATGACATGTAGCCTGGAGAATTTATCAAAGAAATGTTTTCTTACAGGGACTGGGGTAGGCGATTTATGAGATTATATCCACAGTTCACATCTTGGGACAACTCAAAAGATCCTGAACGACCTCTTGTGATAGGATATGTATCTCCTGATTATTTTACACATTCTGTGTCATATTTCATAGAAGCTCCCCTTGTCTATCATGACTATACCAATTATAAAGTGATTGTTTATTCAGCAGTTGTCAAGGTATCATTTCTGAATGCATGCAAACAAAAATGTTATATGTAATTCTGTTAATGCATTTTGGTCAATTTTCAAAGCTCTTGCTGTGGATTTGGTTGTTGTGCTAGGTACTTTCATAAAATATTTTCCTGTGCTATATAAAAATCCGTAGTCAAATTTATCTGGTACTCCCTGACAGGAACTGAAAAATTATAATTGATTGGCTTTCAACTGTGTTGCATGTATTCATGTTCCTTTTCTTTAATAGTAGAAATGTCAATCAAATATTGGAAGAGCCTGAGGATTTTCCTGCAGGGGTGATGTAAGATTGTTTGAAAGAGAAAGTTTCTCAATATTTGTGGATGATTTTAGAACTAGAAAATTAATTGCTTTAGGAATTGTGGTTACCATTTGGGAAGCAAATCACCATCACACTTTTTGGCCAGTTAGCTTCATGTCCATTGTGGGTTCTGTTCTGCAACAGTTCAAACTGATGGAGCAATAGTTACTTTCCCTATTCTGTTTTCGTGTTCTATTTTAAGTCATAATTGCTCTGTGAGGTTTCAGTGTTAAAATGTTCTGGTCCTTACACAAGAAAATATTTATTAAGAAAAATAGTGACTGATATGTTTGCTAACTACAATCAAATTGATGAAGGGCTGCAAAGAAATAATCTTGGAGATCACAAAAGAAGTTTGGTGAATACGAACTATCTTACTTGTAATCCTGTATGTCTTGTGTATAGATGATGGCTCTAGTGACTGGATGTCTCCCCAAATAGCCGCCGTCCCATAGCATAAATATAAGAAGGCCACATCTATGGGGTAGATTACTTACGAAGTCCACATCTACATGATGTCCTATTGTCATGTGCCATGAATAAATTAGTTGGTGCTGGTTTTTCTTTCCATATTGGTCATAGTTGCTACTGTACTAGATATTCATTTAATTGGTGTTCATTTTCCAATGTGGATTAAATGCTAGAGAACTTCCTCTTGCTACAATTATTGTGGATTATTATTTATACTCACTCTTAACAGGCCAAAGTTATTCATGCCTGCACACAGTCATTTACACAATTGTCTCGAGTCTTGACATTTATTGTTAACATTCCAAGTTTGTTTCTTTGTTGTTATTAATATCTCTCATTTCTTCCATAGAACTTGAAATTGATTTTCTTGCAATGTTGCAGGCAGATGCAAAAACCATCCGCTTTAGAGAGAGAGTCTTAAAGAAGGGTGGGATCTGGAAAGACATTTATGGAACTGATGAAAAGAAGGTTGCGGACATGGTTAGAGAAGATCAAGTTGATATTTTAATAGAGCTTACCGGTCATACTGCAAACAATAAGCTGGGAATGATGGCATGTCGACCTGCTCCAGTTCAGGTGTTTTTAACATCTACACATTTAGTTTTTCCCCCCTTTATCTATCAATTTGTAACTTGTCTGACCTTGCTTACCATATTCTATGTTTCCCCCTATCTCTATTTTGTAGTATGTTGATTTTTTGAAGCTTCAATTTTCGTATTCTATGCTATGCATTATTATTATTATTATTTTTTTCATTTTGTGCAATACAAATTGAGACATCCATTGTATTATTAACTAACTCTTTCAATTTCCATTGTATAATGCTATGAAGTAATTGGATTTTCATTTTTGTGTATTAGAAATTTAGAAATTGGAAAAGTTGGGTAATAATGCATAGTTTATTAGAATTGGATTGGGCTTAATGCCAAAAGGTAGCTTGGAGTATTTCAGTCATATTCGTAGCTGATATAGGATGTCTTAACACACCCTCCTGACATTTAGGACTGGATGTTTGGAGTGTAAAATTTGTAGGAATGGACATGTATGGTAGTCCAAATCAAAATTGGATAGACTCTAGTACCATAACTCAACCTTAAAAGCTAGCTCAAGGGAGGAGGCTTTCCTATGTCTTTTAAGGAATGTTATGGCTATATTCCTAGCTGGTGTAGAACATCCCAATGAGTTTGATGTAGCTATTTACTAATATTTTTTCCCCTTATATGTGGTTATATTTGACTTATAAATTAGCCTTGTTAGGTCTGAATTCAGAAATGAGATGATGTTTATATATGCTATTTAAAAGGAATTTACTCGTGTGACAAATCAATTTGAACAACTATTAGGTATAATGTCTTTAATCTATGCTTTTGTTTTGATATTACTTATGGCTTTCTCCATGTATCTATGCAGTGCTTAATTTAGTCATCAAGCTAGTGATATAAAGTGTCATGTATCATTCATGGTAGCATGTACCATGCAGTGTATTCAATTTAATCTTTGCTGAATTGTAAAATATTGCTTGACATGCAGGTGACTTGGATTGGTTATCCCAATACAACAGGATTGCCTACAATTGATTATAGAATAACTGATTCTCAGGCAGACCCTCCCGAAACAAAGCAGAAGTAGTTCTCTTCTTGAATTTCTGTACTTTCTTGTCATTATATTGCTGCTTCTCTACTACTTCTATCGTAGTTTGCTTTCTAATGACACTTTTCCCAAATTACAGGCATGTTGAAGAGTTGGTTCGATTACCAGATTGCTTCCTTTGTTACACTCCTTCCCCTGAGGCTGGTCCTGTTTGTCCAACTCCTGCCCTTTCCAATGGCTTTGTTACGTTTGGTAGTTTTAACAATCTTGCCAAGGTAGTGATAGTGTTAAATGTTATTGTTCCGACCTCAATTCTGCTGGCAATGTTAATAGTTAAACTGTGATGGTTTAACAAGTGCCAATGTGGACAATATCTCGAATGCGGTAACTTTAACGATGCCAGCACTTCAGCAGACTTGAGGTCGGAACAGTTATGCATTTCTATTTTTGATTATCAATACCAAATTGTAAAAGGTAAGTTGTGTATCCCCTGACTTATGCTGTTTTATTTCTTCAGATTACACCTAAGGTACTGCAGGTCTGGGCAAGGATACTATGTGCAATTCCAAATTCTCGCCTTGTGGTAAAATGTAAACCCTTTTGCTGTGATAGTGTGAGACAGAGGTTTCTTTCAATGCTAGAGAAGTTAGGTCTGGAACCACTACGAGTTGATCTTCTGCCCCTTATTCTTCTTAACCATGATCATATGCAAGCATATTCTCTAATGGACATCAGGTAATATCTATTTTTGTACTCAAATATTTTTGGTCCTGCATAAGCTCTTGTATTATTATTATTTTTACTATTATTATTCATGCATATTTTGGTTGTTTACAGGCACTTCTTTCCTATATATCAATTTTTTAACCTTTTTCATATTGTTGGTGTATATTGGATGTGGCTACAATTCAGTATAAATGCAATTCTTGAATACCGAAAGAGTGACGCACTAGGCATTTAGCACCATTTAAATCAAAAGCTGGATGTGTTTGAATTAGTTTATTTTGCATCTGGAAATGCTAACAAAAAAACTGCTCAAGAACTTCTACCCAAAGCTATTTTTGTTAGAAAGAGAAAGAAAAATCAAACAATCTTCTCACTCTTAATATTTGTTTGCATCCTCAAATCATTAATTCATTAGTTATACTAAGGATGGTTGTTTTTGATGCTAATTGCTTTGTAGTATGGAAGCATAATAAAATTTACAAAAGATTCTGGAATTTACAAATTTTCATGTATATTTCATTTTCATGGTCTATCTATATAATTTTAACTATTTTTAAAGCAGCATCATATAAATAGCATCTAGAAAAGCACAAGACTGTTACAAATATTTATTGCCGGGTTATCTCTTCATTACATTTTTGAATGTTAAACATGTATTAAACAACTTTTGCAATATATTCAGGATTTAGCTTGTCTATGAAATTTTATTAAATGCTGACTTTGTACATTGGTTCTTTAGTCTTGTTTCATGAGTCATGGTTGAGGTTCCTGCATATAATACATACATGCTTTTCATGTAGTTTGGACACATTTCCATATGCTGGAACAACCACAACTTGCGAATCTTTGTATATGGGAGTTCCATGTGTTACAATGGCTGGCTCAGTGCATGCACACAATGTTGGTGTTAGTCTTCTTAGCAAAGTTGGTAAGAAACTGCAATCTTTATGAATTAGTTGTTTCATGTGCTACGTTATGAATTGTGATTTGGTGGAATGCCTTCAAGCGAGCCAAAGCAGTGCATGGCTAATTTTATTAAAATTTTCCGACCTTTTTACAAAAGTCAATTGTTGTATGGTTGGAATAAAGGTTGTGCAGCTTGTAACTATAATTTTTTTAAAAAATTTATGAATAATAAACAATGTAACTAATGTACTCTGTTTAGTTGATGTCAACGATGGCTGTTATGAGTTTGGTTACAAAATTCAATGGTCTTAAATGCAGAGGCATCAAAAAAGGCTTTGTTAAAACTATTGTTTAATATAGGTTGTGCAGCATTCATAAAGCTGATCTTTTGGCCCTATCTGTTTTAGGGAAATTTAGGTCCATAGGCTAGCAGATTTTTTGATGGTGTATCTTTTTTGTTCTTTCATATATATATATATATATAAGAAACCAAAGCTAGGGTTTCTTGCTTTTTGCCACAAATTCAAAATTAAGTTGGTATCAGAGCGGGTCCGATCCCGCTCTTCTGTTTGCCATCATCTGCCACTGTTTACCGCTGTCTGCCATCGTTTGCCACCGTCTGCTGTCGGTCGTTGCCGTTTGCTGCCGGTCGTTGCCGTCCAAAATCTTCGGCAACCTTAGGGTTTGGTGCGCCTCGTTGAGCGCAACCCAACCCTGTTGGTTTTGAGGGCATTAGAAGCTTCATGCGCTCTCACGCGCCGTTCAAAATCTCCGTCCAGTCACGCGCGTGTGGTTCATGCGTCGCCTTCTGCTCATCGGAGTTCCGTCGCACTGCCACTGCGGTGTTCGTCCTCTTCTGAGTCTCTTCCAACCCTTGGTTCACTGTTTTAGGTGGCTGTGTGGCTCGCGGTTACTATTCATCTTCCTACTTATAAGTCAAATAGCCTCCATAGGTCTTGTTCATCCCTTTTCTGGGACTCCCACCATTACCACTGCAAAATTGAATTGGAAAAACTATTTATCTTGGTTTGCCTCCGTGGAGTTATGGTTTCTTGGTCAAGGATATCATGACCATTTGGAGAAGGAAGTTGAGGCTATTCCTAATGAAAATAAATCTCAATGGCAGAAACTTGATTTTCAACTATGTGCTGTCCTATGGCAATCAGTTGAAACTGAGGTGTTAGAGATACTCAGGTCATTTAAGACATGTCATTCATTTTGGAAGGAAGCCCAAGATATTTTTGCTAATGACATTCAATGTCTTTTTGATGCAACTCAAAAGAGTAGCTTCTCTTAAACAGACCAACCAGATATGATTTCACATGTAGCAAAGGCTCGGGATGCAATAGAAGAATTGAAAAGATTTCTTGTGGCTGACTCATTGGAGGGTGTCAACAAAAAACTTGATAAGTTATATATGGTTCTGATCTTGAGAAGCTTGCATTCAGATTTTGATCATGTACGTGATCAAATTTTGGCTGGTGATCAAATCCCCTCCATGGATAGCCTAGTCACTAGACTTCTTCATGTCCCTACCTTGTTGAAAGATGAAAACATAGCTAAAACTACTGAGATCTTAGCAATGATAGCATCTCGTGGAAGAGGAGGATGTAGTAGTCGAGGAGGACATGGTGGTAGAAGTGGACGTCCTCAATGTACATATTGCAAAAGAATGGGTCTTACACAAGAAAATTGCTATTCCTTGCATGGTTTTCCTGGCAAGACAGCCCACGTGTCAAAATCTGAAAAATCAAGTTGCAAGTTTTCAGATGAGGAGTATCAAGACTATCTACAACTCAAATCAGAAAAATCTAATAGTCAAGTCCAATCCTTTTCTATGCCAAGTGTTTCAACAACATGTATTTCTCAATCTGTGAAAGGTCATGGTCCATGGATACTTGACTCAGGTGCCTCTGACTACATATCTGGTAACAATTCCTTATTTTCATTCATTTCCTCTCCAAAAGCTCCTCATCTTGTTACTTTAGCTAATGGGTCCAAAGTTGCATCTCAAGGAATTGGTCAAGTTCCTTTGTCTCCTTCCTTAAAGTTAAATTTTGTTTTGTTCATCCGTCATTGTCCTTATAACTTAATCTCTCTAAGCCAATTGACTCGTTCATTAAATTGTTTAGTAACATTCGATGCTAATTCCTTTGTCATACAAGAACGTGGTAAGGGTCGTCTGATTGGCGAAGGACATGAATCACGAGGTCTTTATTACATAAAAACCAGCCCACCTGTATCTTGTTTTGCAACCTCAATACCAAAGCTTTTGCATGATCGTTTGGGTCACCCGAGTTTAGCAAAATTGAAGATAATGGTTCCTGGTCTCAAATCACTTCCTGTTTTGAAATGTGAATCGTGTCAATTAGGAAAACATGTTAGGTCATCATTTCCGAAACAAACTGAACGAAGATGTAACTCAGTGTTTTCTACCATTCATTCAGACATTTGGGGACCAAGCCGTGTCACTTCTTTTGGTTTAAGGTATTTTGTAACCTTCATTGATGAATTCTCTCGATGTACTTGGGTTTACTTAATGAAAGATCGTCCTGAACTTCTATCTATATTCATGTCTTTCTTTAATGAGATTAAGAACCAATTTGGCAAGATAATTAAAATCTTCAGAAGTGACAATGCTAAAGAATGTTTTTCTACTGAACTCTCTTCCTTTTTATCCTCACAGGGTATTTTACATCAATCTACGTGCCTTCACACACCACAACAAAATGGCATAGCAGAGAGGAAGATCGTTCTGAACTTCTATCTATATTCATGTCTTTCTTTAATGAGATTAAGAACTAATTTGGCAAGATAATTAAAATGGCACAACAAAATGGTTTACTTAATGAAAGATCGTTCTGAACTTCTATCTATATTCATGTCTTTCTTTAATGAGATTAAGAACCAATTTGGCAAGATAATTAAAATCTTCAGAAGTGACAATGCTAAAGAATGTTTTTCTACTGAACTCTCTTCCTTTTTATCCTCACAGGGTATTTTACATCAATCTACGTGCCTTCACACACCACAACAAAATGGCATAGCAGAGAGGAAGATCGTTCTGAACTTCTATCTATATTCATGTCTTTCTTTAATGAGATTAAGAACTAATTTGGCAAGATAATTAAAATGGCACAACAAAATGGTTTACTTAATGAAAGATCGTTCTGAACTTCTATCTATATTCATGTCTTTCTTTAATGAGATTAAGAACCAATTTGGCAAGATAATTAAAATCTTCAGAAGTGACAATGCTAAAGAATGTTTTTCTACTGAACTCTCTTCCTTTTTATCCTCACAGGGTATTTTACATCAATCTACGTGCCTTCACACACCACGACAAAATGGCATAGCAGAGAGGAAGAATAGACATCTTATTGAAACTGCACGCTCCCTAATGTTGAATATGAATGTTCATGTACATCATTGGAGAGATGCAGTTCTCACTACTTGTTTTTTAATAAATAGGATGCCATCTTCCTCTCTTGAAAATCAGATTCCCCACTCTATCATTTTCCCAAATGATCCTTTATTTCATGTCTCTCCTTGGGTGTTTGATTGTACTTGTTTTGTGCATAATGTCTCTCCAGGTTTAGACAAACTTTCTGCAAAGGCTATTAAATGTGTTTTCCTGAGATACTCTCGTCTTCAAAAAGGATACAAATATTACTCTCCAACTACAAAGAAATATTATATGTCTGCTGATGTTACTTTCTTTGAGGACATGCCTTTTTTTCTCACCCTCCATAGACAATCTTGTTTCCGTCCAACAAGTTCTTCCTGTCCCATTCTCTGATCCAGTCATGATTCCTGATCCTTCTAACACCAACCAAGATGAGAATCAATCCCATACTCATGATTCAGTTGAAGAATAACATGGCTGTCTATGGAGGGTGAGAAAAATGGTGTGTCCTCAAAGAAGGTAACATCAGCAGACATATAATACTTTTTGGTAGTTGGAGAATAACATTTGTATCCTTTCTGAAGACGAGAATATCCCAGAAAAACACATTTGATAGCCTTTGCAGAAAGTTTGTCCAAACCTGGAGAGACATTATGAACAAAGCAAGTATAACCAAACACCTGAGGAGAGACATGAAATAGAGGATCATTTGAAAAATGATAGAATGAGGGATTTGATTTTCAAGAGAGGAAGATGACATCCTATTTATTAAAAAACAAGTAGTGAGAACTGCATCTCTCCAATGATGTACATGAACATTCATATTCAACATTAGGGAGCGTGCAGTTTCAATAAGATGTCTATTCTTCCTCTCTGCTATGCCATTTTGTTGTGGTGTGTGGGGACATGTAGTTTGATGCAGAACACCCTGTGAGGATAAAAAGAGAGAAAGTTCAGCAGAAAAATATTCTTTAGCATTGTCATTTCTGAAGATTTTAATTACCTTGCCAAATTGGTTCTTAATCTCATTAAAGAAAGATATGAATATAGACAAAAGTTCAGATCGATCTTTCATTAAATAAACCCAAGTACATCGAGAGAATTCATCAATGAAGGTTACAAAATATTTGAAACCAAAAGATGTGACACAACTTCCCCAAATGTCTGAATGAATGGTAGAAAAAAACCGAGTTACATCTTTGTTCAGTCCTTTTAGGAAATGATGACCTAACATGTTTTCCTAATTGACACGATTCACATTTCAAAATTGGAAGTGAATTGAGATTAGGAACCATTATCTTCAATTTTGCTAAACTTGGGTGACCCAAACGATCATGCAAAAGCTTTGGTGTTGAGACTGCAAAACAGGATAGAGGTGGGTTGGTTTTTAGGTATTAGAGACCTCGTGATTCATGTCCTTTGCCAGTCAGACGACCCATACCACATTCATGTATGACAAAGGAATTAGCATCAAATGTTACTGAACAATTTAATGAATGAGTCAATTAGCTTAGAGAAATTAAGTTATAAGGACAATGAGGGATGAACAAAACAGAATTCAATTTCAAAAAAGAAGACAAAGGAACTTGATCAATTCCTTGAGATGCAATTTTGGACCCATTGGCTACAGTAACAAGATGGGGAACTTTTGGAGAAGAAAGGAGTGAAAATAAGGAACTGTTACCATAAATATGGTCAGAAGCACCTGAGTCAAGTATCCATGGATCATGACCTTCCACTGATTGAGAAATACATGCTGTTGAAACACTTGGCACAGAAGAAGATTAGGCCTGGCTGTTAGATCTTTCTGTCTTGAGCCTTAGATAATCTTGGTACTCCTCGTCAGAAAACTTGGAACATGATGTTTCAGATTTTGACACATGGACTGTTTTTTTCAGGAAAACCATGTAGAGAATAACAATTTTCTTGTGTATGACCCATTCTTTTGCAGTATGTACACTGAGGACGTCCACTTCTACGACTACGTCCTCCTCCACGAGATGCTACCATTGCTGAAGTCTTAGTAGTTTCAGCTATGTTCTCATCCTTCACCAAGTTAGGAACACGAAGAAGTCTAGTAACTAAGCTGTCCATGGAAGGGATTTGATCACGAGCCACAATTTGATCACGTACATGATCAAAATTCGAATGTAAGCTTCTCTAAATTGGAACCATATATAACTCATCAAGTTTTTTGTTGACACCCTCCAATGAGTCGGCCACAAGAAATCTTTTCAGTTCTTCTATTGCAGCCCGGGTCTTTGCTACATGTGAAATCATATCATGGTTGGTCTGTTTGAGAGAAGCTAGCCTCTGGGTTGCATCAAAAAGACGTTGAATGTCATTAGCAAAAATATTTTGGGCTTCGTTCCAAAATGAACGACATGTCTTAAATGACCTGAGTATCTCTAACACCTCAGGTTCAACAGATTGCCATAGGACATCACATAATTGGAAGTCAAGTTTCTGCCATTGAGATTTATGTTCAGTAGGAATATCACTAACTTCCTTCTCCAAGTGGTCATGATATCCTTGACCAAGAAACCATAACTCCACCGAGGCAGACCAAGACAAATAATTCTTCCGGTTCAGCTTTGCAGTAGTGATGGTGGGCAGAAGATTGGAGCGACGTGTGAGAGCGCGAGATCTCCTCTCTCCCTGAAACAAATAGGGTTGGGTCACACTCAACGAGGCACACCAAAACCTAAGATCGTCGGAGAATTTGGTTGCCAGCGGACGGCAACGGATGGGGGAGGACGGCGGCGACAAACGCCGGACAAGGAGGGACAGCAGAGCGGGATCGGACCCGCTTTGATACCAAGTTAGATTTGAAATCTTGGCAAAAAGAGAGTGAGCACATGCTCCGCTGGTGTGTGTGTATATATATATATATATATAATCAAAATAGATTAATCAGAAACTTGTCTCAGCCTATGAGCCTACATCCCCTTTTGACAGATAGGGCAAAAAATCAGCTTTTAAAAAGCTGAACAACCTATACAAAACAATTGTTTTTAACACATACAAATGATAACACGTCAATGGTTGTGTTACATCAATAGTTTACTTACATTGTCAGGCGATCAATTAAGGGGTGGGGAATCTGCAAAATTTTTGAAAGTTAGGTGTTAAAATGTGGAAATTTGAAAGTTGGGTGACAGAATGTACAATTATTCCAAATTTCTTATATCTCTAATCCTTGCTTAATTATGTATAAATTTTATATCACTTAGACACTAACTTAGCTATAAAGATGAGTATAAACTATAAAAAGAAAGCTATATGTAGTTAGTTGCATGGTTGCAAGTAACTAAAAAACCAGTTACAAATCTATCTCGTAGTTTATGCACAGTGGGTCTCAATTGTCAAATACCTAGTATGTTAATGTTTTCAGAGGTAGACAGCTACTGATGCCAGATTGATGGTTTTTTGCCTTGATCTAAAATAGTCTGTCATGGCATAATTTAACTTTGTGAGATGTTAAATCTATTGAATTTTCAAAATCCAGCATGGTCAATTTCCTTTCAGCTTGTTTGATTATGTATTTATTCCCATTTTCTCTTGGGTGAACTGTATTGCATAATTGAGCATATCTTTATATATCTGGAATGGACTCGTGTTCACTTGGTGTCTGTATAATTGTTCTCTTTCATCCGTTTGTTGTATGCATGTTTTTCTTTCTTTCTAAGGAGAGGTTATTGGATATGCAGTCAATACACCAAATAGTATATAGATTATCGAGGCATATTCTTTTGCATCTTTCGGTTTGCTATTAAAACCACTGAATATTTCACTTTTAACAATTCAGGTTTGGGCCATTTGATTGCGAAAAATGAAGATGAATATGTAAAATTGGCTCTGAAGTTGGCCTCTGATGTTTCGGAACTACAAAATTTGAGAATGAGTCTGCGAGAGCTCATGTCTAAGTCCCCTCTTTGTGATGGAGCAAATTTTACCCTTGGTCTAGAATCAACATATAGACAAATGTGGCGTAGATATTGTAAAGGAGATGTTCCATCTTTGAAACGCTTAGAACTGTTGCAACAGCCTGTCTCTACTAGTGACCCATCTGATAAGAACTCTGAGCAAACAAGGGCCATAAACTCGAGTGAGGGAAGCCCCGAATCTTTTAAGGCCAATGGATTCAGTTCAACGCAACCACCGAAGCCTAATGTTCACAGTTGTGAAGAAAATGGTGGGTCATTGAATCACAGTAGTAAGCAAGGGATGATGGGTTCAAGTTGAAATTCATGGGAGTGTCCTTTGTTGTGACTACAGTTGCTCAGCTTACAATAGGTGCAGTATTAGGTTGGCATGATGTCTATTGTGGTTGCTACTGGAAGAGGCTTTCGGCTACCACAGCATCACAAAAGGTTAATTTTTCATAGAATGATAATTTTTTTTCTGGGAAAGAAGTGTAAGCAACAGTTACCAAATCGATTTGTGTCCTCAACTGTTGTGGATACTCCCCAGAGGTGATGCTGCTTTAAAATGGCATCCTTCAATATCTGTAACACATTTTTCCCCCTTAATTATAATAGTCAGTTGAGAGTGTAAATTGTGTAATATTTATTTAATTTTTTTTGGATCTGGACTTCTTTTCTAGCATGGTATTGTTGATCAGATCATGGACAAATTAAGATTTTTGTAGTAGCATTCAGTAACAAATGTGTGTTGATTAAGATAGGAATTTGGAAGTTTAATTCTGAACTCTGAAGTACTGATATGTGATACAAATTCATTAGCTCTTATCTAGCACTAAATTGATTACTTTTATTACATATATGGCGAGATTCATCATTGATTGCCTTCGCCGTATGGTTTGGTGCCAAGGAAATTGTGACTAGTGAAGTTATCATGTGGAGTCAACAAATCCAACAATAGGCTTGGCTCCTGTTGAAAAGAATCTTAAAATACTACCCATTGAATGTATATATAAAGCTTTAAATAATTTTGATACTAACATAATCTTTGAATTATAACAAATGAATAAGATTATTTATTGGTGTATAAAGGTTGCCCTATCTATACTTTTTGGACAATTAATGAATAACAGGATGAGTACTTCGTCATACAAGAAACATGGAATGGGAAACAAACAATGCAATGTAGCATTAATGGACATGAATTAGGTATGGTTGACTGGACTATTAATTATATGGTTTAATGGATTAGAGAGACTGCATGGTTTGGTTGACTGATTAATTAATTAAAGAGGTTTGTTATTAGTCATAGTAGTAGATTAGATTCTGAACTGAAATTAGTAACCATGAACTCTTGTTTCATACCTTTTTCATTATACCATTCAACTTTAACTTTTGTGGTCATATCAACAAGGGGACGGTCTTCTTCAACCACTGTTACACATGCAATTTTTATTGAAGAAATTCTACATCTATTAATAATATCCATAAGAAATAAGAAAAATGTTGGCAATATGTTTTTCAATACACTACTTCGAATAAATTAATAATAATAATAATAATAATTGAAATTCATCAGAAATCGTTAAATAAAGAGAAAATAAATTAAATGAATCTTTCTAATACATATTTGTTCTATATTGACAAAGGTTGATTTAATTAATAAAAAACAAATTCATATATAATAAGAATGTGAATTTAATTCTCGCTGTTGATATAAAAATTTTACTAGTAGATAATTTGTTAAGATTCTTATAAATGTTCATTAAGATTTAAAATCTGTTGTCACCTAATTAATCTCTAGAATTCAATTCACCTGAACTATTCTATACCTAAAATAAAAAAAAAGAAATATTTGTTTTTTATAAAGAAAAAGTAACTAATGGAAATGGTTTCATAACAACTCAACTTGACTTCGTTTCTCTTTCTCTAGTTTATTACAAATATTGCTGATTCACATTACCATTCTATCGTTCTATACAAGCTTCAAAAATCAACACATTTGCATATTCATATTACAGTCTCATTTTCACATATCCTTAAAATATAAGCTTCTCTTGTTTTCAAAGCCAAAAATGTCAACCACCATTGATGTCCCAGAATCAAGCAATGTTTCTAAAGGAAAAGCAGTTTTAGTTGCAACCCCGAGGCCAGGAGGGTGGAAGAAAGGGGTAGCCATAATGGATTTCATTCTAAGGTTAGGTGCAGTAGCAGCGGCTCTTGCTGCTGCTGCCACTATGGGAACTAGTGATCAAACGCTCCCTTTCTTCACTCAGTTCTTTCAGTTTGAAGCTAGTTATGATAGCTTCACTACTTTCCAGTATGTCACCTTCAAAACTCTATTTTCTATGTCTTTCCAAAACATCAACGTTTGCAATCTTGTTTGAGTTCAATTTCTATGTATTGTCAATCATAAATTATGGTACTTTATGACTTTAAAAATAATTGTTATAAAAGTTAACATACATAACAAATTATGATTGGATCGTGACATGAATGTGTATAAACTATTTGATCATCTTATTGACATCGAAATGAGGAACCCAATTAATGCTTAAAAAAATGCAGGTTTTTCGTTATTACAATGGCTTTGGTGGGTGGCTACCTGGTGCTATCCCTACCTTTCTCTGTTGTAGCCATTATACGCCCCCATGCAGCTGGACCAAGACTTTTCTTGATTATCTTAGACACCGTAAGCTCTTTCATACTTGCATATTACTTCATTCAATAACCCTATGTCTTTGGTACATGCATATTGCATGGCATGTCTCTTTACCATTTATAAGAACCATATCCAGGGGCTTGGATTCAATACAAGAGTTATCAGAAAATTGAAGAGATGCAAATCACACTAATTAAGTTGATAATACACATCATAGAACTCAAATAATGGAGAGTAGTTCTATGAAGTAACTCATTGAATTGATTGAAATGATAAAAGATACAATAAAACTATAAATCTGATTGTATACAGGTTAAAAATGTTTTTGAGAGCTTCTTATCTTTATTTTCAGTAGATAAACTCTTAGAAGCTATTGCAAGCTTATGACAGTTAACCACTATTCTTAACAAACTAATATTTCTAACAAACTAATTAACTACTCTAACAAGAGTTAAAAACATGTTGATACAACGTTGGCTTAAGGTTTCTGTGTATGTTGGAGAAATTGTAGGTGTTTCTCACTCTGGCCACTGCCAGTGCTGCATCTGCTGCTGCAATAGTATACTTAGCACACAATGGGAACCAGGATTCAAACTGGCTAGCCATCTGCAACCAATTTGGGGACTTTTGTGCACAGACAAGTTCAGCAGTGGTGGCATCCTTCGTCGCTGTGGTTGTCTTAGTGTTGTTGGTTGTCATGTCTGCTTTGGCTCTTGGGAAACGTTGAGAATTAACATGCATGCTTGTGCCTTAGGGCTTCACTTATGTGTATTATTAATCCTCATTTTGAGGTTTCCATTAAGTTAATGGATCGTGTCCTATAATTGATTTGGGAAGATGTTGCAATGAAATATTTAAATATAATTTACATTTATGGCACGTGTATAGTATGAGTCAGTATGTTTAATTTGTAAGTTTTTTTTTTTTAATGATCAATTTGTGGCCGGAGGAAAAAAAAAAGAGTCCTTTCTAATTAACAAATAAGATATAAATTTAACTTTGAGTTCATTAAGGGCATTTCTCACAAAGAACTTATTGTTGGAATACAAATAAGTTCCACATCAATAAAATAAGAGAAGAAATAATAACTTACAAACATATTCTAATGATTGAAAGGTCTTTTAGATAATAACCAAAAGCAAATTAAATCGTTAGAGCTTAAGTCCTGTGAAGTTGTGTGTATAACCTTATGACAATAACCCTTATAAAAATATCTCCTCAGACAAATACCATAAAATAACTCTATCACTTACATGAGTTCTTTTATTTCATTTTTAATAATATATTTCATGCTTTCTTGTAATATCATATCATCTTTCATATTACTCAATCATATTATCAAGAGACTTACTAAAATTTCTTTAAGTACCTCACGATATACTTTAATATTCTTTTCTATTTTATTGTATTCCTCTTAATTTCTAGTTTGAATGTCAATTGTTAAATAATAAATTCATTATATTTTAATTAAATGAAATTAACTTTAAAATTTAAAAATACATAAACAATAATGAAAATTAAAATTAAAAACTTTTAAAATACATAAAGAAACACAAAATAATATATTATTAAATTAGAATTTCATTTTGATAATTTTTCTGTCTAAAACATGCTCCATTAGGTTTATTTGAAGATGACTTCAAAAGGGGCAAACTTATAGGACACTATGACTTCAAAAGGACTCCTCGTGCTTCCTCATTATAATCCCTATATATATATATATATATATAATACAGTCGAATCTAAAAAAAATATTAGGTTAGCTCTAAATCCTAACTTTTTACAAATTTACTCTTAATTGGATTTAACACGATTGTAAATATGAGAAAAGACAAGACAATAATCTAAATATGCCTCTAAAAAGTAAGTAAATATCGGAAAACTAAAGTAGTAATAAACTTGAATTTCGCAACATCAACTTGAATTTAGTTAGAAGACATATAGTAATAACAACCTAAATTTGAAATATAATTTTTCTTATTAGAGGAATTAATTTTATAAATAAAATAAAAATAATATATAACAATTAACATATGTATACTTTGAACACTAAAATCTTAAATAAATAAATTGTTACCAACTATATTGACTCGTTAAAATCTATGTTGGGCACAACTGAGTAGTTAAGCAGGTTGGTCCTTGCCTAGCCCATCCTCATATTTTTGGTCAATCCACTTTGGAATAAAAAAAAAAAAGGAGCAATTAAAAATTAAATTCTGGTCATTAAAATGATCATAATAATTGTGACTAAAAAATTTAGTTTTCCTAGTCATGTAGTGGTTTTCATTGGTATTTAATATAAGTATCGGTAATACTTTTATTGATCTTTATATGTTGTTCATTAGCTAATTGCCGGTGTTAAATTTAGTAGCCATTTATATGACGTCTAAAGTACATATTAATATAACTTAAAGCAAATTTTAGTATATTTCTCCTTTGTTTTTTTTACCATCTCCCTACTTTATGCTTTCCCCAATCTTTACTTTACGAGCCATAAACTATGCTATTTTAGAAAATGACGATTTAATAACGGTTTGGGCGTCAATATAATTGATATAATGGTTATTACTAATATTTTTTTTCATGAAAATAATTTACGGATAATCAAAAATTAATTTATGTTTATAAAATATAATTTATTTTAATTAAACATTATTTTAATACAAACGAGAATCAATATATTAAAATCCCTTATATACTAAATACAAATTATTATCTTGCACGAAAGTATTTTTAGAAATTATTTTTTGACGAAAGAGTTTATAAATGCTTTTTTAACTTCTTATCTAATTTAATTTTTTATTTATCATGATTATTTATGAATTAAATATTAATATCTTATATAAAATATTAATAAATAAAATAATTTGTATTATAATATAAATTATTTATTATAAATTTAAAATATAATTTATATATTTAAATATTTATTTATATAAAATTTAAATATAATTTATATATTCAAACATAATATTTATTTATATATAAATTATTATAAAATTTAATTATATATAATAAATATATCTATGAATCTGGTACAGCTGGGAGGCCCAAGCGCGTAACAAGAAAACCATTCAAATTCAAGGATTATACAATTTGAGGGAATTGGGCCTTAAAACTAGTAATAGGTCCGTTGGTTTTAGTAAGTTGAGTCCAACAATTTGAATTCGATTATAGAATTAATTTTTCCCTAAAATCAGTGCTCTAAGTCCTTCTTCTTATAGTGGCTGTATTGCATTTTGATGGTTATGGAATGAGTATCTTCTTAGCATTAACCTAGTGTAGTATTGTTTCTCTAGCAATACTCTATTAGAATCGCTTGATACTAATTTGCTACTACTAATAATTTTCAGTCTCATGGTTATTTTATCATGTAATTGTGTATGTATCTTGTAGATCTCGATTAATTAATTTTGTAAAATAGTTTTTTTTAATTGAATATGATATAACATGGTCAAAGAATACTAGGCATAGGGTGACACTGAATCCAATATCTTGTTATGGATTAGAGAGGCTACGTGGTTTGGTTGACGAGAATTAAATCACGAAATTTTAATTTGCTAATCACTTACATTAATGGGTTAGGGTGGCTTTAATTCATTAATCGAAAAGACTTTGTTAATTACTATAATAACAGGTCGGGTTGTAATTATAGTAAATATAGGATTTCTTGTTTATATTTTTTTCTTCCATTTTTTCGTTTATTATACTGTAGAAAATAATTCACAGATTAAATAATGTAATTAATATATTAATTTATACAATTTTTTTTAATATTTTAATAAAATATTTGTTATTATTTTCTCTTATTTACGATAAGCATGTAAATTATTTAAGAGTTATGCAGAAATAAATATATAAATAAAAATAGTGATAATATTTATTAAATTTTATATAGAATCATTTTTTAAAAGAGTTAATTACCTATACACTGCCAATATAAAGTTTTTTTTTACACTGGCAACCAATCATATCTTTTAATAGTACTATGTCAGTTACTTATTTAATGAAATAATAATAAAATAAGCAACTTTAAAAGATTTAATGAAATAATAATAAAATAAGCAACTTTAAAAGATATGATTGGTTGCCAGTATAAAAAACTTTATACCGGTAGTGTATGAATGATTAACTCTTTTTAAAAATGGATAAATAAATAAAGCTAAACCATTGCTTGATTATATATCATTCAAATTTGATTTAACAAATCCTATGTCCTTCGGTTTACGTACCCTACTTAATTAATTAATATATAATATATAACAAATCCTATTTTAATTAATATATAATGGTCACTGATGCTAACCATCAATTTGAAAACGTTGATTAAGAAATTAAAATGTAATAATTTTAATAAATAATGTAAACTTAGAGATTATTAATGTATTTTTATTATAATTCATTTAAATTTGTATTATAAAAAAATTATTGAAAATATAAGACTTAATATAAATTTTTAGACTTATACAAATGTTAACAGATATTAACTCTCTCTATAAATAACACATTTATAAAATCTTTAAAAACATCACATATAAATAATTAAAATGAACATAAATAATCAAATAAGATGGTTACATAATCTTTTAATGAATATATATGTAGCTAAAAATGATTATTATATGAATTAAAAAAATATTTTAAATTTAAATTTTTTCATAAATCAAAATTAAAACATAATTATTTTATATTGAGAAAAACATATTTAAGTCTTTTAAAATATAAATTCTTTATTAATTATTATTAAATCTTAACTATTGCTCATATTTGAAGAATCTCTCCATGAAAAACAAAATAACATTAAAAAAAGAAGATTAAATATATTTTTCCCTCTCAGGGCCTGACATCTCTATAGGAAAAGTTCTCTTAACAACTTCGCTAAGTTCGTTAGTTGGCATCCCTCATCCCACTAATCCTAACACCAATGACTCTTTCTAGTTTCTCCCTCTATAAATGTTTCAATCATCAACAAATTTTCATATTCATATTACACTCTCATTCACAGATATCCTTAAAACATAAGCTTCTCTTGTTTCCAAAGCCAAAAATGTCAACCACCATTGATGTCCCAGAGACAAGTAAAGTTCCTAAAGGAAAAGCAGTGTTAGGAGCACCTCCAAGGCCAGGAGGGTGGAAGAAAGGGGTAGCCATAATGGACTTCATTCTTAGGTTAGGTGCCATAGCAGCTGCTCTTGGTGCTGCTGCTACTATGGGAACCAGTGATCAAACACTCCCTTTCTTCACTCAGTTCTTTCAGTTTGAAGCTAGCTATGATAGCTTCACCACTTTCCAGTATGTCACCTTCAAAACTCTTTTTTCTATGCCTTCTCATATCATAACATTAATCTTGATTCACTGAAATGATAATTAACAAAATGCAGGTTTTTCGTTATTACAATGGCTTTGGTGGGTGGCTACCTAGTGCTATCCCTACCTTTCTCTGTTGTAGCCATCGTTCGCCCCCATGCAGTTGGACCAAGGCTTTTTCTCATCATCTTAGACACTGTAAGCTCTCTAAAATTCTGATTAATTTTAGATAAGCTTTTCATTTTTCATTGGAAAAAGTCTTTAACCCTAATTAGAACCAGCTTACATATTAAAAGCGCTTTTAAACTTGTATTCAACCATACTTACTATAATAATATTTCTTTTTCCTTAGTATATGATTTTTTAGTGAATGTTACTAGTTATAGAGTTTGTGTTGTGATTGCAGGTGTTTCTTACACTAGCTACTGCTAGTGGTGCTTCAGCTGCTTCCATAGTATACATGGCACACAAAGGCGATCAGGACACGAACTGGTTAGCCATCTGCAACCAATTTGGAGACTTCTGTGCGCAGACCAGTTCAGCAGTGGTCTCATCCTTCGTTGCGGTGCTTCTCTTAGTATTGTTGATTGTCATGTCTGCTTTCGCTATTGGGAAATAAGCCTTCTAAATTAATTAAGTGTTATACTATTACGATTATATTATAGATGGTGCGTATGTTTATTAATTCTGTTTCCTAAGTCTTCCTCGGCTTGTGAGGTTTTACTTTCCTTCAAGTAATGGTATGCATGACGAATGGATTACTTGTATAAATTTGGTCAGATGTTTGAAGCTTGAGCCAATGTGTTTCACAGTGAAGTGCTTATTCTTCACTTTTCTATCTCCGGTACTTTTGTCAACTAAAAACTCTTGATCCAATTGTTTCATGGTGTGATATCGACATGTGATGAGAGTTAACATAAAAAAAAATGCAGAATATAATTATAGCTTTAGTTTTATAATTCTAAAAAGAAAAAAATGTAATTTTCAGAACTGGAAAGAGAGAAATAAGAAAGATAAAGAAAAAATATTGATAGAGATAATAAATGATTTAGTGACTCTCTCTCATTAAATCACTTATTAGATCGTCTGTCATTATTTCTAGATCTAGCTATGAAGTGTAAAACTTGTCATGAAAACATCTTTTCATATCAATCCAGGTAATGGTAGAATTAAGAGGTTTGAAATCCTATGGGTCATACGAGGGTATAAACCCCAGTTTCCCCCCAAGTGATTATTGGAAACCAATTAATTGGGTATGTTGCCGTTTCTCTAATCACTTAACTCTTTATCCTTGTACCTTGTTGTTAAATCCTTAATTTGTCACATTTTAACATTCTTTTAATCGCTAATTTGTCATGTTTTATGATGATATTTTTTAACAAATTTCACCTTTTTTTTTGCTAAGTGAGCAACAAACAATTGAGAAGATATAGAAGAGGGAATTGGTGCAGTTGAGGCCAAACCGGATGGAAAACTAGGCTAGCTAAAGCATTATGCACAATTATTCTTACTTAAATCACATCCTAGATTTGAAGAATGCTGACATATACAATTGTATTTACTGATATGTATGACCGTACTTCACTTGTGTACTATTCTAATTTTTATTTATAAATAGGAATTTAGAATACTTTTTTTATTATTATTTTTTTTTTTATCTTATATATCTCAGTTTATATTTCAAATTCCCTTTTTCTTTATTAGGGTCTTGGGAGGCAAACTTATCATATTAGAAAAAATTGGAGAAGACTAATCATTTGTTCAGTTCCAAATTGCAATGGAGTCATATGGAGAAGACATCATTATGTATATCCAAATCTAACCACCAATTTAATGAGGTAGTCGACCCCTCAAACCGTTCGTCCTTATAGAAATCTTACTCTTTGACCCCTTCTATTTCAATATGTATCGTGGGCCTCACAATGTCCCCAAGCTACCTCGAGATTTACAATGTAATTAATGTCATTTCGCCTATCTCCATCTGTAGACGAGCATCTGAAGAGATAGGTTGAGCCATCTCCAAGACTGGTGCATGGGAAGGGATTGTTTGGCATGTCCTCCTCACTGTCGACATAATTCGTCAACACAAAGTCAAGGTATTTGGAGGTCGTTGTAGTTACTAGAACAAAAATTGAGGTAACTTCAATGGTTGTCGAAACACCTATTGAAGTTAGTGCTTCAACTTGAGTGTTGGTAAGCTGCATGGTGCCCTTTTTATATAAGGTGGTTCCATGGTTGATCATTTAGATCTAATAAGTTACATGTGCCAAGAATGACCAAGAGGAAGTGAAAGGAACCTTAGAGTTTTGAAATTGGGGTTCATTAGGCATACCTGTTGATATTTTATGTTTTGTAATTCTGTTTTAATTGGCTAATAAGTATTGCTTTAGTGCAATGACGATTATAATTTTTGAATTATTTCTCTTTATGATCAATTATGTAATTGTTACCCTTAAAATGACTCCTCCTATTTTTGAATAAAATAACTACCTTTTCATATTCTCTTTTTCTCGATTATTATCAGTGGTATCAAGAGCTAGGTTAAGAAAAAGGCCGTAGTCCAAGAGTGTAAAAAAAAAAAAAGAGAAGAGAACAATAACCCCACCAATGACTTCTGAAAATTTTGTGCAGCCAGCCATTCCACGTTTTGATGGTCACTACGACCATTGGAGCATGCTGATGTGGAATCTCTTGAGATCCAAGGAGTTCTGGCAGGTTGTTGCAGATGGTGTGGCAACACCAGGGGATGGTGTAGCTCTTACAGATGCCCAACAAAAGGAGCTTGATGTGATGAAATTGAAAGACTTGAAAGCCAAGAATTATTTGTTTCCCGAACCCGATAAACACGGGTTTTCCCCATCCAAATCGGGGCGGGTACCCACGGGGGCGGGTTAGATTGCCATGCCTAATTTATGCTCATGTGTTTGTTCTAAAAATGAAATTCTTTTTTTTTTCTTTTTTTATGTCGGGAAATTAACCTGTACGCATTAAGGTTAATGATGACGATTCCTTTTTATCCATGCCATTTTTGATTATTGTCGGGATGTGTTCCTTTGAACCCAAGCTTTTAGTGGCTCATTGATTATCTAGTCGATGTGTAGTCAAGCGTCTCCCAACTCTATTCGAGGACATCTTGATCTTTTCTCTGTGAGTATTTACTGTGCATTCTCCGTGTATATTTTTGGTACCATTTTAATGCCATAAGGGTCAAGAGAAAAGAAAGAAGGGATGTTTGTATATTTTCAGACGAGAGTTTCCCATGCGGAAATGACAACTGTTGGGATAAGAGGAATGATCAAGAATGGATGAATCTTGCTTCTAGGGAATTACAAGACAAAACTCAATTGAAGAATAAGGGCATTGGATGACAAAAACCCGCTAGGACAAAAACCCGTAAAGGACGTCTTAGGCAAAAATTAGGGTAAAGGAATCAAAATCCTGAAAGGATACATCCTATGCAAAAGTTAGGGATATACATATATATGTAAAAAAGCAATGCATGCTCAAGTTGAAAACCGAAAGGCGGCTTGAGTATTCCCTTTAGAAAGCAAGAATTCATAAAGGTTTCATTCCGAAGTCGAAACACCCACATTCAAGCAAGTGGGAATGCGTCCTTAACGTAGTTCAACCAATCGTCAATCAAGCCTCTCTAGGAGGCAACCTTGGTTAATCTCTCTGTGTACGAATCACGAACTCGGGGCATGCCCGAGCCTCCAAGCTTTGCTAAAGGGGCACGTGTAAATTGGAAGTACTGTTTTAAATGGCATAACATTCTTTCATTTCTCTTCTTCCTTTAAATATTCACTCTAGGCCTCATCCATTAACCCTTAATAAACAAGTTGTATTTGCGACAAAGATGTTACTCAATAATAGCATGTAAATGATAACAAAGGAACAATCAGGAATCCAAAAATGACTGGGTTTAATAAAAATAAGGCGTCCCAAACAAACGCTGCAAAAATGATAGCCCGGTAGAAATCCACTAAGGGGGGCTACGCAAAATTAGGGCAAGATCCGCTAAGGGCCCACAATCAGAAAGGGAAACCTAGGCAAAAGTAAGGATCAAAAGAAAAATGTCTACTAGGAAATACATCCAAAGTGACCTAGGCAAAAGTTAGGATGTTAAAGCAACGACCTGAGTTGAAAATCGAAAGGCGGCTCAGGAGGGATCATTCAATCAGGGCATAAGCCCAAGTCATCACTCCACTTTCCAAAAAAAAATTAAAACACAACGATAACTTCCTTGTAGTAAATACGTTTTGTTTAATAACCCTAAACACCAAAGCGCGCCTTGGCCAGCCATTCTTCTAAAACGTCCGATGAATTTTCTATTTTTTGTGAAAAACACGGAATCCGGAAGGAGTTAACAATAGCGTATACACCACAACAAAATGGTGTCTCGGAGAGGAAAAATAGAACCATTCTCAACATGGTACGGAGCCTCTTGACTAAGAGTGGTGTTTCAAAAGATTTTTGGCCTGAAGCTGTTAACTGGAGCGTTGACATTCTAAATAGAAGTCCCACATTTGCTGTGAAGAATATGACACCAGAGGAGGCATGGAGTGGGAGAAAACCAACTGTGGACCATTTTAGGATTTTTGGGTGCATTTCTTATGCTCATATTCCTGACAAGAAAAGATCAAAGCTTGATGACAAAGGTGAAAAATGTATCTTTCTTGGTGTTAGTGATCAATCAAAAGCATATAAATTGTATAATCCTATCACTAAAAAGATCATTATTAGTTGTGATGTTGTTTTCAATGAAGAAAGATTTTGGGAAAATGACATAGATGAAACAAAATTAGAATGGGTAATTTTTCCAAAAGGGACTTTTTAGAAGAATGGCTGGCCAAGGCGCGCTTTGGTGTTTAGGGTTATTAAACAAAACGTATTTACTACAAGGAAGTTATCGTTGTGTTTTAATTTTTTTTTGGAAAGTGGAGTGATGACTTGGGCTTATGCCCTGATTGAATGATCCCTCCTGAGCCGCCTTTCGATTTTCAACTCAGGTCGTTGCTTTAACATCCTAACTTTTGCCTAGGTCACTTTGGATGTATTTCCTAGTAGACATTTTTCTTTTGATCCTTACTTTTGCCTAGGTTTCCCTTTCTGATTGTGGGCCCTTAGCGGATCTTGCCCTAATTTTGCGTAGCCCCCCTTAGTGGATTTCTACCGGGCTATCATTTTTGCAGCGTTTGTTTGGGACGCCTTATTTTTATTAAACCCAGTCATTTTTGGATTCCTGATTGTTCCTTTGTTATCATTTACATGCTATTATTGAGTAACATCTTTGTCGCAAATACAACTTGTTTATTAAGGGTTAATGGATGAGGCCTAGAGTGAATATTTAAAGGAAGAAGAGAAATGAAAGAATGTTATGCCATTTAAAACAGTACTTCCAATTTACACGTGCCCCTTTAGCAAAGCTTGGAGGCTCGGGCATGCCCCGAGTTCGTGATTCGTACACAGAGAGATTAACCAAGGTTGCCTCCTAGAGAGGCTTGATTGACGATTGGTTGAACTACGTTAAGGACGCATTCCCACTTGCTTGAATGTGGGTGTTTGGGGCGGGTACCCACGGGGGCGGGTTAGATTGCCATGCCTAATTTATGCTCATGTGTTTGTTCTAAAAATGAAATTCTTTTTTTTTTCTTTTTTTATGTCGGGAAATTAACCTGTACGCATTAAGGTTAATGATGACGATTCCTTTTTATCCATGCCATTTTTGATTATTGTCGGGATGTGTTCCTTTGAACCCAAGCTTTTAGTGGCTCATTGATTATCTAGTCGATGTGTAGTCAAGCGTCTCCCAACTCTATTCGAGGACATCTTGATCTTTTCTCTGTGAGTATTTACTGTGCATTCTCCGTGTATATTTTTGGTACCATTTTAATGCCATAAGGGTCAAGAGAAAAGAAAGAAGGGATGTTTGTATATTTTCAGAAGGGTTGTTAGAATGGGTAATTTTTCCAAAAGGGACTTTTTAGAAGAATGGCTGGCCAAGGCGCGCTTTGGTGTTTAGGGTTATTAAACAAAACGTATTTACTACAAGGAAGTTATCGTTGTGTTTTAATTTTTTTTTGGAAAGTGGAGTGATGACTTGGGCTTATGCCCTGATTGAATGATCCCTCCTGAGCCGCCTTTCGATTTTCAACTCAGGTCGTTGCTTTAACATCCTAACTTTTGCCTAGGTCACTTTGGATGTATTTCCTAGTAGACATTTTTCTTTTGATCCTTACTTTTGCCTAGGTTTCCCTTTCTGATTGTGGGCCCTTAGCGGTGATGACTTGGGCTTATGCCCTGATTGAATGATCCCTCCTGAGCCGCCTTTCGATTTTCAACTCAGGTCGTTGCTTTAACATCCTAACTTTTGCCTAGGTCACTTTGGATGTATTTCCTAGTAGACATTTTTCTTGGGTCTGTTGATATTTTATGTTTTGTAACTCTGTTTTAATTAGCTAATAAGTATTGCTTTAGTGCTATGACGGTTATAATTTTTGAATTATTTCTCTTTATGATGAATTATGTAATTGTTACCCTTAAAAGGACTCTTCCTATTTTTGAATAAAATAACTACCTTTTCATATTCTCTTTTTCTCGATTATTATCAATACCAAAAATATGTTGGTGCAAAATGTGATTAGCCATTGTGTCAGCTAACACCTATTAATTAATTTCCAAATTGGGCGATTGACTAAGAAGGGACTTTGTTCCTTGCTTAGGTTCTTGATCAATCTCAAAGAGCTATCAGATAGTTGTAAATCGATGTTTTATGATCTTTTTAGTTTTAGTGAAATACAATAAAGGAAAACTTGTAAAAATGCTATAAAGAAAGTTGTAAACAATCGAATAAAATTGGCTTAAATTTAAATGAAAGATGTAAAATTGAACAAGAAAATAAATTAGACTAATCTTGATCGTGAACGTATATTACAATGTTATCTCCAATATTTAAACGACCTATCGCGATTAGAATTGTTTGTTTGTTTCTAAATGACCCACTTCCCTATATTTTAAGGGAAAAATAAGGGTTATATATGTTTTCATTCTCTTTCACTTTGCACTCTTAAGGGTTCCATCTTGTCACATTCCTTACTAGCCTTTCAATCGAAAGTTATTAACCTTTCAACTAATACTTTTCTACATATAGAATCAATTATATTAGTCGTCTTCTCTTCTATAGTCATTTTTAAATGACTACTTGTGATTGTCAGCTACTCTCAGTTGTCTTCTTTAATAGCTTATGTAGAATGGCCATGTCAACTAGATATTTTTTGTGTCAAAATATATAATATATTAACAAATTAAGTATATATACTACAATAAATGTTACATATAGTGACATATAACAAGTGTCACTATAAGTATAATATATGTAAGTATATATCTATTTAACATATAGTTACATATAATTTTAGTGTTGATTTTGAATTAGATTTAACAATATATTTTGTATGTCACTATAGCTTATACTCACATTTTTTAACAATATACCAACATATATTATATTTATTGTGTAGGTAAAAGTAGTTTTTAGTGATACATATTCTGTCACTATAGGATGTGTGTAAGTAAAAGTAGTTTTTAATAACACATATTATGTCACTATAGGATGTGTGTTACTATATGACAATTTCCTTGTAATGATATATATATATATATATATATATATATAAACTATTAATTAAGAAAATATATCTATAACATGACAACTTTGGAAATAGAACCATAACTCCCATAAAAACATTAAGAAATAGATAATAAAAGTATTAAATTAGCATAAACATCAAACACAAATTAAAAGGTATATACAAATAAGAAACATAATTTAAAGTGCAATATAACTTTTGACATGAGTACAATATTATATGGTATAAATACGAGAATAATTTAGAGAAAATACAACTAAAATTTATTTTGAATGAACTAGAAGTAACTCCCTATTGTTTCAACGTCAACAAGATTTTCCAATTTAAAGTGCTTTTAATTAATTAGTAACCGACGTCGTATAAATTTAAGTCAAATCATGTTTAACTTAACTCAATGCTTCACTATGATTTCACGGAAAACAAAAAAATACGCTATTAATTTCTGGCTATTGTCATCCGAAGAAATTAGACCTGGGGTGACAAGAAGATAAAACTTAAATCCATCGAGTTAGTTTGTAGATGGTCCTAAATTTGAACTTCCACCTATGTAATTTCTATTGATTAAAAACAAGATGAAGTTATTTAATAAAATTAATCATATTACATTTTCAAAAATAATAATAAATAACATCCATTACTATGTGTTGTAAATTTTGAAATAATAATTGCCATATCATTACATAATATCGAAAATTTGATCTATATTTTTATTATATTTTTAGTTTCTATATTTTTTTTCTTTAACTTTCCAGTTATGAAAATATGTGGTATGTTCCTCTATCTATCCACTTTTCTTAATCGTCTTAGTAATAGGCAAGATGGTTTTTTTAAGATTAAAAGCAAATATTTCCATCATTACATGATTAAAAACATATTAAATTAAACCCCAAATTTTATCTTTTCTAACATTGCACCGGCGAATTATAGAGGCTATGCGGTTTGGTTGTACTTATATTATAGTAACGTGTTACGCATCAAAAAAAATACTATTATAGTAACGTATTATCTTGTTTCATAGCTTTTATCTTCGTCGCATCAATATTTGATGCTAAGACCTAAGAGAACAAAAGTCCACTGCTTGACCTCACGAAAATTTGATATAACAAATCCACAAACCATACCCTCCAGAACTTGGGACGACAACCATTGTTATCCCTTTAATCAAAAAGTAAATAGCTAAGAAAATAATTAATTAATATTAATTTCTCTCAACCTATCTCTACTTGCTTTGCAATAATTAAAAAAGGTAACTATATATGAAGTGGAATGGTTTTTTATAACAACTCCGCATGCATGCCTTAACCTTTATCTGAACGTTGACCATTCTCTCTCTATATAAGCTACTACCATGCATCAAGCCATTTGCATCACTGAGTCTCATACTTGATCAAATTTCAGTTAACACAATCTTAGCTTCTCTCAAGTTTCAAAGCCAAAAATGTCAACCACCGTTGATGTTCCAGAATCAAGCAATGTGGCCAAAGGAAAAGCAGTGTTAGTAGCACCTCCAAGGCCAGGAGGGTGGAAGAAAGGGGTAGCCATAATGGACTTCATTCTAAGGTTAGGTGCCATAGCAGCATCTCTTGGTGCTGCTGCTACTATGGGAACCAGTGATCAAACACTCCCTTTTTTCACTCAGTTCTTTCAGTTTGAAGCTAGCTATGATAGCTTCACCACTTTCCAGTATGCCACCTTCAAAACTCTTTTTTCTATGCCTTTAATTTCCATAACATCAATCTCAATTCACTGAAAATGCTTAACAAAATGCAGGTTTTTCGTTATCACAATGGCACTCGTGGGTGGCTATTTGGTCCTGTCACTACCTTTCTCTATAGTATCCATCATTCGTCCCCATGCAATTGGACCAAGGCTTTTCCTCATCATCTTAGACACGGTAATTATGATGATTGATGCATTAATTATATTCAGTGACTCTTTATGATATTCTTCTACTTTGAATCAGAATTTTATTTGTTTGTTTATGAATATTGCAGGTTTTTCTGACTTTGGCCACTGCTAGTGGTGCTTCAGCTGCTGCCATCGTTTATTTGGCACACAACGGGAATCAAGACTCGAATTGGCTTGCCATCTGCAACCAATTTGGAGATTTTTGCGCGCAAACCAGTGGAGCAGTGGTCTCATCGTTCGTTGCTGTGGTTATCTTTGTGTTGCTCATTGTCATGTCTGCTTTGGCCCTTAGAAGACATTAGAATATTAAGATGCAATCATGCAGGGACCAAGTTTTACCTGCTTTAATTAATTATTGTTATATGTTTTGTACTCCTGAAATATACTTCTTTTGGTTGTGATGATGTTAATTCTTCCTTTCATGAATTGAAGTAATGATGTGTCAGATTGTTTGCAATGATTTGGGCAAATGTTATCGATAGAATATTACTTATGGCGTTCTAATGTTAGAAGTTTGAGCCTACATGTTCAATTTTTATGTGCCTGTATCTTCTCTACTTTTTACTACTTTATCCTGATCGAAAATAAAAGATATAAATAAATTTTTCCGAGGGTTTCTCTCCTCCTCGTAGCAAAACAAACGAAGAAAATAAAAAAAATGAACACATCCTATGGGAACGTACAACAATAATATTTATAAGAAAGTCATAGTGACGCTATAAATGACAAAATAATTAATAAAAAAAGATATGAGTAATTAGTGAATACTGTACTGATATAAAATAAAAACCCTTTTAAAAGTTAACAATAAACAAAAAAAAAAAAAAATGAAAGTATATTCAATATGCATGCTAGAGGCGCGCAGAATTTGATCATTTTAATAAGAGAGTGACTAGAGTGTTAAATTATGATGCACGATATTGTAGTTACAATATTAAGATTTTGAAAGTCTGTACAATTGCATGATTGCAATTCCAAATATTAGATATATTATTCTTTTTTGTTTTTTTTTCTTCTGTTATTAATGTATTTTTTTATATCATAGTATTCAACAAAAAAATATTTTATGGATTCTGAAATCATACAAAACCAATTCCATATATCACAAGGATATAATAGCTAATTAGTCAACAAAAAGATATCAATAAATGCGTTACATATTTTTTCTATCATTATGTCTTTGTTCTTTTTCATTTGTTATTTAATGTGTACAAAAGATATAATTCATATTTTCATTTATTTACTTATTCATTTATTTAATTGAAGTTAGTGTTGATTTCCTATTTCCTATTATACATTATTTTTTTTCCAATAACTATTTCACTTATCAACTAATACATTTCTCTCTCAATCTTTTGGTGCAACATTTTTTATATACCATTAATTAGCACCACACGAATTCTTTACTTAACTAAAATTTATTAGAACACGGGAAATAATATAAGTCTTATATTTACTATATAATAAGTTTAATTTATAATTTTGTGAGTTCTAATAAATTTTGATTCATAATAAAATATGTGATACAAACAGTGAGTTGTTAGAATTTTTCTTGGAATTAAAAAATTGTAATTAAGGATAGAATCAAGACAAAGGTGTAATTGAAAAATGATAATTAATAATGTTATTTTAAATCTTAATTATAGATAAATAATAAAACTTTCCTTTAAAATTAGTGACAGATACATAAGAACATTTTATACGATGTTTTTTCTAGGTTGCATGGCTGAATTTCACTAGAATTAAAAAGTACCTAGCTGATTAGGTTAGCCCCTGCAGGTAGGAGAATTCTTTTGTTTTCTTTACAAGAAAAATAACACACTTTGATTTCATGTAATTATTATAGAAAGAGATAGTCAAACCACATGACAACAATTGTCATCACATATATATTCGTTGTCATCATATATATATATACTTACCAAACCATTAGAAAGAATTAAGCATATGACGTCTATACATATATATATATATATATATATATATATATATATAGTTTTCTAATTTACTTATATTTTAATTTTAATTGTTATTTTGATTGTTAATTTAAT